CCGGTAGTGTATATTGTGCAGTTGTGAGTCTGTTCTAGCTTGTCACACAAACACACAGTTACTAAAACAATTACTTTGGGGGAGAAGTAACTGTAACTAATGACTTTTTTTTGAGGGCTCTTGCTCAAACACTGTAGTATATCATCGCGTACAACATTCCATTAAATTGTGTAAATAATCAGTACCTTTTCCTAAATTACACACTTGCATTATAGGTTTTAGCAAATACAAACCTGCAATTATTCAGGCTATAGATATCCATTAACCAAGCTCCTGACTGTACACGAGACTGGCTGACACTCAACGAATGCTGAAATGAAGAAAAAAAAAAAAAAAGCATTTAACTCAACAACTCATTTGAAATTAACAGCAGTTTTTCTCATACTCATTTTCCAATTCCAATTTTAGTGTTTAATTTGCACAAGTTGTACTTTTGATGACCAACCCTCTGACCAGACAATGAATACGTGAATTAATTATGCTCCAGTTTTTACAAATGATGCATGGAGACCCCTTCCCCCCAAAAAACTTTTTTTATATACATAACAATACAAATGGAAAGTTATCATAAGCATACAAGAATACAGTATACACATAAATGACATAAAATAGAGGAAATTAAATGATTCAAATGATTCTCTGACCACCATCTGCACAGGTCATTTACACAAACAGGGTAGGGCACATTGACTTTGAAGACAAGCACAGCCGTTTATTATAAACACTTCTCGCTTATTTGAGACGTACTTTTTCATGTTTTGTTTATGTGTATCCAAAAATATATCTTTATTTATATCTCTACTCTACTTCCATGAGCGATGAATCATTAGCCCACACCACCTCCACTTTCCCATTCACAAAAAACACGCCTGCATATCTTCCATCTATCTGTAAATTTGCTTATGATGCTTTACTGCGAGTCACCACTACTTCCTGTCCACTCCAGCTGAAGTTTATCTCTGGTGTTTACCAATGACCGCACCACCTGATTCCACCCACAGATTCGTGATGACGTTGGGCTTTTTGCGAGTGTTTGGGTCAGTCTTTGTGTAGCAGAAGTCCAGCTGCTACGCTCCATTTCCCCAGTAGAAGAGAGACAGATTGGATGATGTCAGGGGGGTTAAAAGGGGTAAAAAAGAGGGTCCCCGGTACCAAATATGGAGCCGGATGTGAGCGAGATGACATAACAGATCTCATAACGAATGGGGGCTCTGTAAAATTCAAACAATAACTTCTAAATGTTGACATAATAGATTCAGTGTTTCGGTAGTGCAATGAGAGCAAATAAAATAAATATTAGGCTGTAATGTCAGTCTTACGGTGTGTGATTAATGGCCAAAGAACTATAATTTGTCTTGTTGAACAACTGTTTATCGTGGACATCCAAGTGATTCGACAATCCAATTACAAAACATAAGAACTAAAACATAAAAATAAAAAAATTGCCAAACTCCAGATTTGTGGTTTAAGTCAGAAACATTCTAAAACACAAGCATCTAATCCATTATATTTAAAGGTGCACTATGTAACTTTTCTGGTGCGTGAGTTCATGCATATCAGCTTAATGCATAGACATGTTTTTTTCTTTGCCTGTATTGTCCCCTGGTGTATTAAACTTACAATATTTCTTGCATTTGTTATTTGCCTTGAGAAATATGCATTCTTTTTGTGAGTGGCGTTGCCTTTCCACTGATCTGATTTGTAACTTGGCTGTGGGAGTCTGGGACATTCTAGATCAGTGTTCCCTAAACTTTTTTTCTGGGGACCCATATTTTTTCAAGTTAGTCATAAATCACAAAATAAATCTGTGACCATTATTGAATATTAATGAGGAAAACTTATTGTTGTGTCTCTCTGAACAATTAGTATTACTGTATTTTTCGGACTATAATGTGCACTTAAAATCCACGTTTTAAACAAGGAAAAACAATAATCAGTGTTTCCCAGAGAAAAGTGGTTAGGCAAGGTGGGTGTGCGCGCAGAGATGTATGTATACTGCAGACCTACATGCAGATCGTGATGAGGCGACCCAAAAAAATCTCTTGCGACCCACCTGAGGATCGCTACGAAGACAAGCAAGAGGCAGACCTTCCACCAAAAAGTTGCATAGTACTCCTTTAATCATATTTCATTATAAAAATAGAGGATTTATGAGAATTACTCAGTGGCACTTAAGTCATAATGTGTTATATATGTGCAGGAATTTCTAAAGCAGTTACACAGCCGAACTGTCACTTTACATAGAAAATAACAAGGATCACCAATGATGCATGGAAGACACATCTGCAAAATTACTATCATCAAGTATAAGAAAATGATAGTACAGGTTTGCTCATAAGACTTAATATACGGTAATGCACATTTTATTTCATTCAGTCATTGTCAGTGTGTTGGGAACTGAAAACATGTACAGTTAACATGAAAGAACACATATTGAGAATACTAATTTTGAGTAACTGTCTATCATTTGGTGGTATTAAGAATATAGTGTGCTAAAATCAGAGCAATACATGCCAATTCATACAATTTAGGCTTTAAACTGCACAGAATTACTGAGAAAAACACAAAACACTGCACTTTTAGTAGGTGCATGTGTGATTTTCCTTTTTCTGATCAAACTGTGAAACAAATGTAAAGATGTTTTTAATCAAATGTTCTGTGTTTACACTATCATTTAAAGGTGCACTATGAAACTTTTTGATTGGGGGTCTGTCACCTGCTTGTTTCTGTGGATATGTCATTACTCTGCCTGGAATATTCCACAGTGTGACGTTAAAACAGCTCTAACTTATACTTATTCAATTACAGGTGGTTTTAGAGCTCAAAAATACCTACAAAAACAGGTGTGTTATTGTAATTAATCTGTGGTTGCCTCTCCACAGATCTGGCCTTTAACTTAGTTTCCATGAAGATAGAAAAGTTTAGTGCCATATTGTGAAACATTCCAGACAAAGCAATAACATCTCCATGAAGAAAAGCATTTAACGGTCCCTCCAATACACCTTAAGTATTGTAAGTATTCAGAACACAGTATTCTGATTGGACCGTGTATCAGAATGTGTTACAAAATACAAAAATATTATAATGTATTCTGTATGGTATAGTACTCTTCTCTTCCCATTATTGGTCTATTTTAATTTTTAAATTTTTTTTTTAGGGGGTGGGGGGTATTTTGAGCATGATGAGTACGGAAACCAGGCCAAAGTTCTCTCATCAAATATGCAAAAGGTGTGTATGTGACAGCCACCTACACACTGTGATAAATGTGGAATGAAGAGTGGCGTTCACTGCACTTAAATTGGCGATTAAAGGATTAGGACATTGGCTTTTTAATACATACATCACTTAAATGAATGCCACCGTATTACACGCAGAAGCCACCTTTTCACTCAGGTATCCAAGATTTCCAAAGCCAAAATAGAGGAAATCCCTTCTCTGGATGAGTCATGGCTTAACAACTTCAAATTCTCCAAGTAGTGGTTTTTGCCCACACTGGAGGGTTTCTATGGGGCAAGTATAGACAGACCCAACATGGCTGACTCAGATCTCGGCTTTGGTTGCCATGGGTTACTCTACATTTGTATATCCAGGCGTGACAGAAGGTGTAAGGAAATAGCATTGCCGCCTGGAGCTTCATTCTTGTTAAACATTAATAACTCATGAAAGCCTTCAAAACTGGTTCAGACTTGGAGTAAATACCAACTGAGCATAACTCACCACTATAGAGGGATGGATATATGGCCTATTTTAAGTCTTTTTTATTGACAAAAGAGGGGTGGATGGATGGAAATCGGCTTAGAGAAATTTGACAGGCCGTGTTGAATATAAATAATTATTAATATCAAAGGGCCCTTTTTTTTTTTTTTTTTTTTTTTTAATTATTTTGTTTTCTGAACTGTTATAATACTGTTTTCTCGTCAAAAACATACCTGGAGTTGTGTTTTGTTTCATTCACACATGTTTAACACTCAAATCCTGCATTTTTAGGTTGAGTTCTTCTCTCAAACAGAAAACACACTGTTCCACCTCGTGATGTCATATGGTAATACTGGAATTTTAAAGGTTCATGCACCTTCTTTAGAATCATTTGATTAATTCCACAGCCCTGGATTTGGCCATCTCTACTGAGCTAAAGGTAAAAGGTAGCTGTTAACTTGAAAACGACAACTTAGAACAGAGTATTTGCGCTTTTGAGAATTAACTAACATAAGACAACTCTAGGTATGATTTTTGAGAAGGTAACATTCTAACATGACTTACAGCTCATATAAGTCAATTTTGAATAATATAAGACCCTTAAATTAAACCAACACAAAACATAGACGTTATGCACCACATTAAAGCTAGTTTCCATTTGTTGTCCCTAATTTGCAGCAATATTATAGGATTATACAATACAATTACTCCCCATACATACTCACATAACATCATATCATCATATCTTATTGCATTTTAATTAAACAAATGAATACAAATGTTGATGTGTGTACCTTAGTGAAACCACTAATTGGTAATGTTTCATGAATCTATCATAGCGCCTATTTTCAGTCCTATACACTTTTCTCCTTTTTTACAACTTTGTTTTATTTTCCAGTGAAGAGTATCAGCGCCATCTAGTGTGTGACGTTGAGGTTTTCAATACAAAATAGTTGGCATAGCTCATTTTAGCTGTACAATAACAAATAGCAAAGAAGCATTATTATTATGAGTGTTTAATTGCAGCAAAATATGCATATAGATCTGGAATTTACGATGAGTGAGTGAGGCAAAACACCAAATAATAACCAAATAATTAAACGTGATACGATTATAAATGCTACACACGTATAATCATATATGTGCGTTATTTCTAAACCACAGAGTGTATATATAAAACAACTGCGTCAACAGAATCTTTTATGTGACAGAGACCTTTCAAAACTACATTACCCATAATGCTCAGGTGGAGTCGACAGCCTCAAATGCTAAAGTGTGCATGCGCCACAGTTGTTGTGGGAAAAATGGCGGCACTGCTACAGCAGGAGCTGGAGCCTGCGGAGATCGCAAAACTACCAAAAAACATCGTAAACAAAATTGAGAAGATTCTGTTGGACCAACAATATGAAATAGATTCTTTAAAGGCGCAGCAGGAGCAGTTTAGAGTGGATAATGGTAAGATAATATGTTTAAAATCTTTTGATTAGTTTAGCAAAACTCAGCCAGTTGCTCGCCATGCTCATGAATGAGTGCAAGGATTTTACCCACATTCATGACACAACTGGATTACAGCGCATATTTTGTTTAGGAAATAAACTTAATTTGTTTAAAGTTCTCGATCTTCTTAACTTGCTTGGTCGGGTTCAATAGATTTATGTGCATTTTGGATATACACAAGGATAATGTTAGCTTGTCCTCTAAATTAGCATTGGTGTTAATCTTTCCTGAAACCTCCTCAAAGCTCCAGATCGTCCACATCCTCACCTGGCCACACACAACCACAAGCTTTGGCAAAAAGTGTAGAAGGGACTGGCAGGTCAGATAAACCACAGCCATGTTTTCTTTATGTATCTTACCCTCTCATTTTAGAGCAACATTTCTTTGAGAAAGTGCAACAGCTTGCTCACTGTAAAGAACAGTTTTTGACGAAGTCCCAAGAGCACCTGAAGCTCAAAGAAGAATTCACCAAACTTGGTATTACAGACTTAACACAATTCAGTATCATATATTTGACCTTTTACATGTGACTCTCTAATTAATACATTTTTAATATTCAGAGGAGGAACTTAAAACTGTGGTTGCCAAAAACAGAGAACATGAGATCACACAGGAGAGGCTGTCATCAGACCAGGTAATACAAATGTAAAGCATGTTTATATCAGTGCTGTACGTTTTTGTTTTTAACAGTTATTTGTATGTAGGTTCTGCTGTCAAAAGCCAGAGAAGAGCTGGAGGCTGAAAAGCGAGAACTTGTTCGCACACTGGAAAGACGCTCGCTGGAAGTCGAGCATTTAAATGGTATAGAACTTAAAATTGAATTAAAGAAAGAAGAAAACTAGTTTTTATTTACTTAATGGTGGTTTGTTTCCAGATGATTTAAGACAACTAAATGACAAACTGGTTGAAGCTGGTACATCTAGAATAACTTTGCAGATGAAGCTTGATGAGCTTGAAGCAGCTGAAGTTAACATTAAGGTAAGCTAGCTAGCTGGCTTGTCCAGTTAGATTTTTAAAAAATAAATATAATCTTTTAATATATAAATTTTCCAAAATATTAGTACAAAGAGAAGCGTATGGATCAGGAGAAGGAGCTCCTACAGGGACAGATCTCTTGGCTGAATGATGAGCTTAAAGCCAAGACTGAGGAGCTACTGTCTCTGTCCAGACAGAAGGGCAACGAGATCCTGGACCTAAAATGCTGCCTGGAGAATAAAGACGATGAGGTATGCTAATTATAATGTAAACAAAAATAAGAGTGCTTTTGGTTCACATTTATAAGAATTTGAGATGGAACAAGATCTCGCGTAACAATATTGCCACTTGTGGTGCCAAGATTGTGAACACATGAGAAATATGATCTTGTGAGGTTTTTCCTCCCTGTTTTTTTACACTTGGTTTGACAAAAAATTGTTTTAGTGCTGGTCATTTACATATTTTGAGAAGTTGGTAGTTCCAAAAAACTATTTTGTAATGACAACGAAAATATTACATTAAATAAATCAAGACATTGCTAAACCAAAATTGTGAAATTAATTGCACAATGAATACATATATAAATCATGGACAAAGTTCATCTTTTGTTTTCGTGGACCCAATCTCTTGCCTTGTCTTGGGGAAATTGTGTCTTGTTCCACCCTTAATAAGAATATACCTGCTGTGAATTCTCCAGTATAACTGCTAGTTCAGTAACAATTTATTTAGTTTGTGTATTCCTAGGCCCCTTAGCGGTCCTTGGGAGTACCACGGTTACGCTGGTACTTCTAGCCTTAACTTAACTGCTATAGCTTCAGATTATCACCTTTACCCTATCTAAGTCTGTGTCTATGGTAGAGGTGGGTTTGTAAATATTTATTATTTGTTTCTTTAATTGCTATGTAATGTTCTGATGCTAATTAACTTGATAATTTTACATGACCTTTGATGAATAACATAATCTGTCTACGAATAACTGTTGAACAGTTATTCATAGACAGTTAGTCTAATATATTACTGTATCAGTTAGTGATATGAGTCAAACTGTTGTTATAGACTACCAGACGAAAAGACAGAAGAAAGACATTAAAGCTCCATAAATACATTCAGTTGTCCTAATTTACTCTCTGATCTGAGTATTGTTTGGATGAAGTGTCTACAGTCCTAAAATATCTTCAATAATGCCTTTCTTGCAGTTGAACAAGCTTCACGATCAACTAACCAGCTGCAAAACTTCAAATGAAGATCTGCAGAAACAACGAGAAGAAATGACTAACAAACTTAAAGAGGTATGTGGTTTTGTAATTTTTTTTTCCACTCCAAGTTTATTTTAAATGTGTTGAGTTGTCATATTTGCTTTTATTTTAGGCTAAGGTGCAACAAGCTGCAATGGAGGAGAGATTTAGAAATGAACTTAACGCTAACATCAAACTGGCTAATTTGTACAAGGTATGACTATTTGACTATTCAACAAAAAAACTTGCAGACTTTATATATAGCCCTACATTATAATATATTGGTGTTTTGTTGCAGGGAGCTGCAGCAGATGCAGAGGCAAAAAGTGAAGAGTTGAGCCAAGCTGTAGAAGAACTGCATAAACTCCTGAAAGATGCTGGAGAAGGTGGGACTTAATTCATCTGAATGCTAGAACGTAGAACATACTTTTTTTGTAACTATTTAAAAACATTTTTAGAATTTTCCAAGTAACAATAACAGACTTGTATAACTCTTGATTACAGCGAACAAAGCCCTGGAAGAAAAGGTACAGGAGCTGAATGCAGGCACAGACAAGGCTACAGCTGAGTTAAAGGAGAGGATTCAGAGTCTTGAGAAGGAGCTGGACAATGCAAACGAACTGCTGGCTTCTTCTGCTCTCAGAGGTCCGTGAGGTTCAAATAAGTGGCTTGTCATTGTATCATTATTGTGTATCGTAAATCAAAATCTCTAATAATAACAGTATTTCTTACAGGCCCTGCTGCGTCATCCTCCTTAACTGAAGAACAGCTCACCACTATGTCTCCCACTGCTGCTGCCGTCTCAAAGATAAAGCCTAAGATGAAACTGACAGAGGTAATTCAGTATGTGCTGAATGTGTAGATTTCAAAATTATTGTGTAAACATAGGCTATGATATCTTGTACTGTAGTTTACTGGCCATGTAAATTATCTTGTGAGACAAAATTGCTGCAAGACTATAGATGAGGAAAATGATCTCGCCAGATTTTTTTTTACATATTTTTACATTTGCCTTGGATAAAAAAAAAGTTTACTTTGCTTGAGTAACCGCTGAGAAGCTGTAATACCAAAAAGCAGTGCTAAAATGAGCAAAAGAATTGTGAAGCCAAGATTGTGAACTAAATGGCACAATTTATTTATTTAAATTTTATCAAAATCTTGTCCTGTCTTGTTTTCATGAGCTGAAAGAGCTGAATCTCATACAAATTGTCTCATCCCATCCCTAAAATTAACCCATTGTCTATGTAATTTCAGTTATACACAGCATATGTGGAGAGCCAGGAGCAGCTTCAGTTGGAGCGTCTGGAAAACAAGCGCGTCAACAAATACCTGGATGAAATTGTGCAGGAAGTGGAAGCCAAGGCCCCGATTCTGAAACGCCAAAGAGATGAACACGAACGCATGCAAAAGTCTGTGGCTAGTCTCTCAACCAAACTTGAGCAAGCCGTCAAGGTGTGTAGTTTACCTGTGATTTGCATTAACACCAGAATATTGCCTGTTTACTAGGACTGCAATGGTTAATCAGAGTTATTGACTATTAAAAGTTAAAAGATACCAGTTGACTATTAAAATAATCTTTAATGTTATAGTTATCTGAACTATAGAGACTCACATGCAAAAAAACACATGCAAAAAGATTTATTTGATCACGAAGACGGTAGCATTATTAAATTATATAGGAAAAACTATTTCAGATTTTCGACAATAATACTTTATTTGTAAATATTTTGTAATTTAGAACCCTACATTCACCATATTGCAATCTTTGTATGGTTGGAAATTAACTAAATTGACTAAACAAGTTGACTAATTGAACTGACTTGGTTGCTTACTCAATTTGATGTTTTTATTTTTTTCTGATGTATTTTTGAATTATTTTCTATTCAGGAGGTGCATCGTCTCCAAAAAGAGGCAGATGAAGCCAACAAGCGTGCCTCTGTGCTGGAAAGAGAAAGTCAAAGATCTGAAATGCAGCTGTCTGATATGGCTCAGCAGGTTTGTGAATGCTCCTGCTTCAGAAAACATTACTGCAACATAGGCTTTTGTTTGTTTGTTTGTTTGGGTTTTTTTTGTCAGAATTTATAATTCGATTTTATTTAATTGATACAAAATAAAAGGCTTTCTATATGAATTTCCTCACCATAAACAACGCAGACGTTTAATCAGTGCCATATAACAAAAAACTAAACAAAAAGTGCAAATTTATGAACTCTGCTTCTAGCTGTATACCTTTTGTAAGAAGTATATCAAGGATCAATTAGAAATCACTGATTAAAATTTGGTCAGTTACAAAGGACATAACCATAATAACAATCCAGGTTTTGCAGAGCTTATCTAATTTGGATGTATAGTTTGGAGTAGTTTCTGTTTTAGTTTTTCTTTTAAATTAATTGAAACACATTATTATCCATTATTCTTCTCTCAGGTTCGAGTTTTGCTGATTGAGTTGGAGGAGGCTCGTGGGAACCATGTGCTCACCGATGAGGACGTGAGCTCGACCGATATTAGCAGCACCTCTGATGTCATCTCTCAGCACCTGGTGACCTTCAGGAGCGTCGAAGAGCTACAGAAGCAAAACCAGCGCCTCCTGGTGGCCCTCAGAGAGCTTGGGGAGGCCCAGGAGAAAGAAGAGTTTGAAGCAACAGGCAACAAGTGAGTAACTTAGACTAAATGTAAATCCAAATATAGAGCAAAGTCTATCTGTATTTAACACCTTTGTATACATGCTCTTATGTTATCGTAGGTTATTGTTACTTTATTATTCTTTGTTTTATGTTACATCATATGGTCAAAGCAAGTTCCTAGTTTTGGAATTTTGTTTGCTGACAGTGGCAATAAATTATAAATACATTTCTGATTGTGTTACATCCCTTTTACTGGAGTGTTTGTCACCTGATTGTCTCCATGGAGAATTGTCTTGAATGTCCCACACTATGGCATAAAACATCTTCTTTTAACTCAAGCAAGGGATATGACCATAAGATGGATAAGTGTAATGCCATATTGTGGAACATTCCAGATTATTCATTCACTATGAAACAACAAGGTTTGACTCATTTTTTATTTTACATGTATTATTATCTGAACTCTAAGACTTGTTTCTAATGTACAGATTGAAATTTTCTTTTGCTATGTTTTGTAATTGCTAAATATTCTAATAAAACTGTATTCCAGACGAGGTGAACTGGAACAGAGTCTGGAGAAGGCACAGTCTGAGTTGGAGGGTTTGAAAGAGCAGAGGAGTCAACAGCTGAAGATGACGGAGTCCATCGTGAGGCAACGAGACATGTACCGTGTACTGCTCGCTCAGGCCACTGGGGTCAGCTTCCCTCAGCAAGGTAACAGCAATGCATTAGTCTAATATAGCTCTTTTACAGATGCTCAAAGTCGTATTCAGTCCTTACTCAGTGGTGGTGAGATTCTATTATAGGAACAGCTGCCCTGAGGTAGACAGAAGTAAGGCTCCTCCAACCACCACCAACACACACATCACATTTATACTAGGCAAGATGGGTGAAATGTCTTGCCCAACGATACAATAGTGACCACTATGGCACGTGGTATTCCCAGAGGTTTCCCATTTAAGCATTAAAATCAGGTCCAGCCTTGCTTGGCCTCTGAGGTCTTGCATAGGGCTGCAAGACTGATTCAAAATCAAATTGAAATTGCAGTTTAAATGCATGTGTATCTTGGATTAGTTTAGCAATTCATATTTTAGTCATCTATAATGTTAATACAGGTAGCCATGTTAGTATAAAACAAATCACAAATCTAATCTCCAATGCTTGTCAGATATCTCGAATCAGCCTGGGATATATACACACACTATCAAGCCCCCTGTTATTATTCTGTATACAAGGATCAATTGAGCATGTCATTTATTTCAAAGGTACAATCTCATTTATCTTAAAGGTACTCTGCCTGAGGAGCTGTCTGCTCTGACCTCAACCCCGAGACGCTCCCCTGCAACCACGCCCACCACGGGAACGCCTACTGCTCTCGTCTCCATGGCAACGGACACTGCAGAGGCCCTGGAGGCCAAGGCGGCTCTGAGACAAGTACGTTCCATCGTGTACCTGTAGATGGCAGTGTTTTCCTTTGTTTAGTCCCATCTTAGCCCCGTCTATTTCTATTGCCTTATTTTGTGTTTTTGTTTGCCTGGCAGAATAGTTAAATGTGCACTATGTAACTTTTCTGGTGTAAGGTCAGCTACCTGCTTGTTTCTATGGAAATGTTATTGCTTTCCCGGAATGTTCCAGAATATACCAAAAAGTATCAGTCTTGTATATAACTATTTTGGGAGAGAGTGGGCTCACCTCTTCACTGATCTTTTTGCTACTTTTTAGAATTTATTATTAACGTTGAGACTTTTTCTCTTTTTATAATTATAATATATTGTAATATATTGTGAGCTACTGTATCGAAATAATTTTCCTTGTGGCTCAATAAAGTTTGTCTAAATTTGACTTGCATAGCCTAGTAGCCTAATAGCCTAGTGTAATGCAATACACTGTGGACCATTTTAAATAAATATTAGTAAATTGTATATAACAATTTTGATTCTTTTCAGTTGCAGGATGTGTTCACAAACTATAAGAAAGAGAGATTGGAGAGTGACAAATCAATGACTGAGCAAAATGAGAAACTCCAAGAACAAATCTCTGAACTCCGCTCTGCAAATGCAAAGGTCTCCACCCAGCTCGAATTTGCATCTAAAAGGTAATTTAATATACAGCTTCTCAGTGTTTGTTGTTTCACTATTAACTAACATTATAATCATTGCGTAAAAGAAAGAAAATATTGTAGGTAAGATATAATCTGAATATTCAAGAACTACAATTTAGCTGTGAACTGTATTGGCTTACAGATGACTTACAATAGATACAGACGACTCACAATGGTCCCTTTTTGACCCTAAGAGCTATTTTTACAATATATCTCTTGTGGGGCAAAACCATAGACTGTTTATAAACAGACATGGCTAACACGCTAGCCGCCGCATTACAATTAGGCTCCAGTTGCCTTTACATTGAAAAATGGTCATCCCTCTCTCTGTAACTGCTGCAGTGAACCTCATTCATTTTAGTCTTAAAATGTACGTATTAACCCGCTCTACATCATCCTGGTGTTTTTTTATTTTGCTATTTTGTCAATAAATACATCTCTATTCATAATATGGACCTGGCTCCAAATTTGCCCATATAACTGCAAGCCTCAGTGAGCTTCACTTGAATGGAGTCGAACTCTGTGGGTAATGTCACACTCCCTTAGTCCGCTTCTTTATACAGTTGTGCACATCCAATAAAAGTTGCGACTGTGTGCTGGATCCAAAGACAGAAATGGGACACTGGACAGGTCTGTCAGAAGAAGGGCTTGACCCCCAAAACATCACATTGTGGTTCTTAAAATAAGAATTGCAGTGCAGATCTGTTTTTTCTTTTGCACAAACAAGTTTGGCTTAACTACAGGTCTTTTTTTTTGACACACGAGACTTGTAACCATTTTATTTATTTTATGAAAAAGCTGAGGCATCAAAGCTTTAACATGATGTCCGTGAAAGAGTTTGTCTGCTTTACATGTTCACAATAGGTGCACTTACCACACCTGTAGCAGCCAGCCTTGATATCCAGTCATGTCTTTTGTTTCAGTGAAGGAAGATAGCGGTTCACGATTCACTTAATTATTTATTTATTTTATAAAACACATACAAGCATTTAGAATAGTTCATACAATTCTATGGAAGTCTTGTTAAAAAGGAACTCCCCAGAAGTTGCCTTCGCTTATAAAAGATATATATACATATATATATACAAAAACAAAATACATAGTCATGTTATCCCACACCATCATCCTGTGTACTCCTACAGTCCCTTTTATCAGTTTGTTACATTCATGATTTTGTAATATTTTACTGGGTAGTTCAATTATCACAATGTTCAACTTTATAGCTTCTTTTTTCTCTGAATGTGTAAACTAATGAATGCAACTTGTACAGGTACGAGATGCTGCAGGACAATGTTGACGGCTACCGCAAAGAGATCGCTGCCCTCAGAGAAAAAGAACAGAAGATGCACACTGCAATTCAGAAGCACGAGCAGACCATCCACACGGTCAATGAGGATCTGAAAGCTGCCAAGGAAAAACTGGCCATGTCCGAAGTATGTTATATTTACCAATTGTCTCCTTACATTAAAAAATTTAAATGTGCATTCTGTAACTTTTGTGGTGAAGGGTCTTCTACCTGCTCCTTTCCATGGAGATGCTGCATAGCCTGGAATGTTCCAAAGTGTGGCATTGAGCAGTTGTATCAAGCAGTTTTTCAATTACAGTTGTTCTATTTTAAAAATACATTGAGAGACATGCATTCTTACTAGTTTGTGTGAGCTTGCATTTCCACACATCTGAGCTATAATTTGGTCTGGTGGCATCACAGACTTGTCTCAGTGGGGATCAAGTGAATGCCATACTGTGGATTATTCTGCGCTGAGAAAAAAACAAACAAAAACACTCCAATAAAAGTTACAGTACACAAAGATTTTTAGAACTGATTTTGTGACTCCTGTTTTTCTCAGGGGCAGGTCGAAAGTCTTCGTAAAGAGAGAGACATGCTTAAACTGGTGGAGTCTCGTCTCACTCATGAAAAAGAGGCCATTTTGAGTCAAAAGCAGAGCCAGAATCTACTACTCACAAATCTACAGAGCATACAGGTAAACTATACACTGTTGAATTACCTGATTATAGTTTTGTCCATGTATTTGAGCTAAATTACCCCAGTACAGATATATTGTATAAGCAGTTATGTACTGTCTGCATCTAAAAGCATTTTGATGTCAGACTCCAAGAAAGTGTGTAATTAGCATGCTAGTTGGTAGTGTTACCGTGATGAATCATTAGGATGCTCTAAATGCATAAGGTAAGTGAGAAATTACTTTGGACCACTGCAAACCTTTTAAAATCTACTAGTTGTCTTTCATTTTTAAAAGAGAGTAAAAATCAGGTAGCGTGCCTTTAATTGATTTACTAGTACCATATTTTTCACTATCATTGTTCTATGGAAATCAAAAGTTCTGAAAATCTATTTGGAATACTTTTTTGTTAATATCAAAAGTTTAAAATTTTTGTATCTTCATAAACCTCATAATATGTTATTTTCAGGCCACTCTTGAGCGCTCAGAGACAGACACTCAGCAGCGTCTCAACAGTCAGCTGGAGAAACAGGAGCGCGAGATCTCACAGCTGCAGAAAAGACTTGAGAATGAAGTGGAACAGCGCCACCTGCTGACCAGAAACCAGGAGGTAGGTCAAAAACCACTTGCACTTCCAATTCAGTCTTGAATGTCATTACTTACTAGTTTTTCTCCAGTTGCACAGTGTTGTAATTACCTCCGCCAAGGAGGTTATGTTTTTGCCGGTGTTTGTTTGTTTGTTTGTTTGTCTGTTAGCAACTTAACTCAAAAAGTTATGGACCAATTTTGATGAAATTTTCAGGATTTGTTGGAAATGTGAAAAGGAAGAACTGATTTCATTTTGGGGGTGATCTGGAAGAAATCCTGGATTCTGGATCACTTTGAAATTTTAGTTAACATTGTGGTAAATGGGGCCAAAAATTTTGTTTCTCAATATCTCGGTTAATTATTGACCAAACCCCATGAAATTTGACTCAGGGATGGACAATGGGATCCTCTTTCATATTCCAAAGGCTGATCCGGATCTGATCCAGAAGACTGATTTTATCGCAATTTATATAAAAAATGGGGGTAGTCCTTGGCGGAGGTCTGCGCTCTCTGAGTGCTTTTCTAGTTTATTACTTTTACACCTTTTTTGTATCTTAACCTAAATATATTCTTGTAGTGAAAGGCTTAGATTTAAGTACTTTTAATTGTTGCCTATATATTTTTGAGATGGCTTATTCTTTTTCTTCTGCTGTCCTTGTACTGATTAAATTTCCCCATGATAAGACACATAAAGGTTGTCTTATTTTATTTTCAAACCATATCATAGCCTAGAGAAATGTTTGGAGTTTATTGCGTTATGTATATTAGTTATTATTAACGGGTTTTTGTTATAAAATCTGGCAACCCAAGTGTCCACCATTGCACTGAATAGAATCCTGTTTTAATTATAATTTCTCTAAATCATGTTTTTTTGTTGTTTTTCTCAGTGATAACATTTACAAACTAATTGTATTTTAACAGATTGAATTGGTTGAGACAAAGAGACAGTTGGAGTTGCAGGTGGCTCTTCATCAGAAAACCAAAGATCAGCTAAGTGCAGCCGAGGTGGAACTGAGCTCTCTGAGGATCCAGTCTGGAGGAGACTCCCGTCGCAGCCTGGGCTCTCCACCCACACCAATACGCAGTGAGTAAAGGGTTCACTTTTTAGTATGTTTAAAACTCACTGATGAATGAGAGATATTAGGAAGATTTTATAAAAAAAAGAAAATAGCAATACATTTGGACTACTGCAAATGATAAATAAAACTAGTGCAGTAGTGCAGTTAAAAAAATAAAAATAAAAAAATTGTATCCTATAAGTTATATATGTAGTAAATTATATAAATTTTACATTATTGAGGTGGATTTATTTTGCCCACAAACTGTGAATGAAGTTGAACCCAATAAAATGTTGGTTAGCTTTTATTAGTGTCTGGTATTTGAATGACGCTTGTTCTTTTCTTTCTCCAAAACAATGATGCCATGTTTTCCCCTCATCTCAGGGCAGGGTGAATCTGGCTCAAATCTTGCTTCATTAATCTCTTTTTTTCCCTCATATACACACACACAATTTCCTCTTTGGTCTCTTTTATTTACATTTACATAAATTAAAACAAGGCAGAAAAAAAAATCCTCCTCTACTGCTACAAAATGGACCATGTAGACTGGAACTAAACCTGGACTAGACCAGGACTAAACAAGTACTATAATGGAACCAAACCAAGTCTACATGAGGACCAAACAGAGTTCAAACCATGACCTTGCTTGAAATGGAATTTAGAAAAAACCTGTCTTAAAGGCCCCCCGAGTTGATAATTGACCATTTCAATTGATTGGATCTCGATTTTATTTCAGCTTTGATTCATTACACAGCTCTCTTATTCATCTTATTCCCATATTTCCTTCTGTCCATAGGTTTATCTGTGTTGGACCAGAACCAGAACGAGGAGGACTTGCTGGGCCGGCTTCGTTTGGCTGAGACCAGAGCAAATGAACTTTCTGAGAATCTAAAGACAGTCACTGCCTCCATGGAAATGTACAGGACCATGGCCCAGAGTCTGGAGGAGTCCATAGGCCTAGAGAAGGAGGTAGGGACAAAACTACACCTATGAAGACAAGCATTTCTGCCAGATGGGAATAAAAACATCTGTAATTGAATAAAAACAAGATCAATATATTTAATGCCATACTCTGAAACATTCCAGGCAAAGCAGATCCCATCACCAGAAAAGTAGCATAATTAACCTTTTTAACTAACAAATTATTATTAGTACATGTTCTGTTACATAGTACATATTATTATAATATGTAAATAACTGCTTTATCTAGTGCTTTCTTGATTATATTGCTGGTTACACTGCATTTTGTTGCGTGTACCTTTTACATTTAATCAAATCTAAATATGGGACTTGACAGGTGACGGAGCAGGCCCGATCTTCCATTGAAACTCGTATGAAGGAGGCTCAAGAGCAGTACCACAAACTGGAGGAGAAACTGTCTGAAGTTCAGAGAGAGAAAGAGAGTCTGGAAGAGCAGAAGAGTGCTGCAGTGGGGGCTCTAGAAGAGCAGGTGTGTATACTGCAAAAAGTACTTGATCTGTACTTGTTCAAACATACACCGTATCAAGACTGAAACGAACTGGGACCATTTTACCTTCAAATTAGCCAGAACTGAGTTTTTTGAACATGTTTGTGATTGCAGATCACTGCTCTTAAGAGAGATCTGAGCAATGCACAGGCTGAGCACCAGGAGGCACTTCAGAAAGTGGCTCTTCTGGAAGCCCAGCAGCAACAGGCTCTAGAAGACAGCCGCGAACAGGTAAGACATTATATGGTAAATGATTAATGTTAAACCAATGGAGATTTTACGATGCCTAATGCTAATGCTTGTTTGTGATCTCCTTCTGAAGGTGAGACTGACAGCAGAGGCACAGGACAAATACGAGCGTGAGATGATGCTCCATGCTGCAGATGTGGAGGCTCTCCAGACGGCGAAGACCCAGGCTCTTCAGGCCGTGGAACTCAGACATCAGCTTGAGGAGAAGTTCCAGAGGGTCAGTGCAGAGCTCCTGGAGGCTCGAGTGTCCTGGGAGGAACAGGAGAAGATACTCAAGGTTTGTGACGAGGATTTAGAACAGATGATGCATTTTCTGTGTTTCCCTGTAATAGAAGACTTGCTGTAATGATGAATCAACTAATTGCGACTTGTTGACCATAAATATAATATTTAACAACTGAATTTAACAGTGCATTGAATTAAATGCCACTGGCCAATAAAAAAGAAGCCTACCTATTAAGAATTTACGATTAAAAGACTTGAATGTATTTTTACTCACTTTTTGTCATTATGCAAAAAGGTGAAAATTATATGTAAATTAAAATATGTCGTTTTGTAACTGTATTAAATAGTATAAGAAAAAATTATGTAAAAAACATAAAAAATATGCAAAATTAAGGTTCTCCAATCATGAATATGTAATGTTCAATTTAATAAATTATGAATACATTTATTATTAACTTATAAATTATAATTTTTTTATTCCACAGGAGGAGATGTCCAAAGTGGAAAGTCGTGGAGAGGAGCTTCAGAAACAGAACACACTTTTACATAAACAGATCGAAACGATGAGCAAGAAAATGGCAGAAAATCTGCAGAAGGCCTCTGGAGACAGTTCACTCAACATCCCTCTCACTGAAGAGGGCAAGTCTCAAGAGCAGGTTCTTGAGATCCTCAGGTAAAACTGTAGATATGAACTAACATACACTGATTCATGAACACCATGCATTGTTACTCATATATTTTCTTAACTGTAGGTTTGTGCGTCGTGAAAAAGAAGTGGCAGAGTCTCGTTTTGAGGTGGCCCAAGGAGAGAGTCTGCGTTACCGTCTGAGAGTGGAGCATCTGGACAGAGAACTAAAGGAGGTGCAGGACGGTCTGAGCGCAGCCAGGGAGAGAATGCAGGTTTGTTTTATTATAATCTATTATCATTCAGAATTGGGGATAACACAAGGTCTTGTCCCACAAGATAGAGACTAATGTGTTTTTTTTTCTAATGCTGGAACTTCATGGTAGCCATAAAGAGAGTGCAAATATTTATAGATCTATTTATAGACCTTGCTAGATTAAAATAAAAATGTTTTCATATTTAATTATTTTCCTTTGCCATCCATCTGCTTCCTGTATAGGTTATGTTACATTTGACAGCTTATAATAATTTACCATGAAACCAAAAGCTTTACTGAAAATAAACAGAAAAAAATTATGATAATAATAAATAGAATAATTATGAATGAAATGTATGTTTTTTTGTTTGTTGTTTATTTAAGTATGGCTTGTCTTTATTCTAAATATATTGTAAATGGTTTTAATGTCAAGAACAGTAAGCAAAGAAGTTTAATTTAACTTTCAGGTGACAGCGAAGACTTTGGCTCAACACGATGAACTGATGAAGAAGACTGAAACAATGAGCATCCTGATGGAAACCAACAAGATGCTGAGAGAAGAAAAGGACAAGATGGAGCAAACCCTGCAGCAAACCCAGGCCAAGGTAAAGTAAAAGAACAAACCATATATTATTATGTTACTTAATGGCAAAGCATCTTTATTCAAATCCATTTGTTTATTTTGTCTTGTTTTAGGTGCAAAGCTTGGAGTCAGACATCATGCCTCTGAAGACGGCCAACTCTGAGCTGAGTGAGAAAAGTGGGATGCTTCAGGCAGAGAAGAAAATCCTGGAGGAAGAAATAAAACGATGGAAAACTCGAACTCAGGTTTGTAACAACCAGAATTTTAAACTCCAAGACATGTTTAATGATCTTTTATCTATGTTTTCAAATGTTTTCCCTCATTGTTGTCTCCGAAGTTATATTTTGATTCATGCATGTCTAAGTTATCCTGCACGTCACAATATGAAACAAAAGTTCCATTCCATTCCATTTTCTTCTGCTTATCCGGAGCCGGGTCGCGGAGGCAGCAGTGTAAGCAGGGACTCCCAGACTTCCCTTTCCACGCACACTTCTTCCAGTTCTTCTGGTTGAACCCCGAGGCGTTCCCAGGCCAGCCGAGAAACATAGTCCCTTCAGCGTGTCCTGGGTCTTCCCCGGGGCCTCCTCCCGGTGGGACATGCCCAGAACACCTCCCGAGGGAAGCGTCCAGGAGGCATCCGGAACAGATGCCCAAGCCACCTCAACTGGCTCCTCTCAACGTGAAGGAGCAGCGGCTCTACTCCGAGCTCCTCCCGTGTGACTGAGCTCCTCACCCTATCTCTAAGGGAGCGCCCAGCCACCCTGCGGAGGAAACTCATTTCGGCCGCTTGTATCCGCGATCTCATCCTTTCGGTCATTACCCAGAGCTCATGACCATAGGTGAAGGTGGGAACGAAGACTGACCGGTAAATCGAGAGCTTTGCCTTTCGGCTCAGCTCCCTCTTCACCACAACGGTCCGATACAGCGACCGCATCACTGCCAAAGCTGCACCGATCCGCCTGTCAATCTCACGCTCCATCCTCCCCTCACTTGTGAACAAGACCCCGAGATACTTGAACTCCTCCACTTGAGGCAGGGACTCTCCACCCACCTGGAGAGGGCAAGCCACCTTTTTCCGGTCGAGAACCATGGCCTCGGATTTGGAGGAGCTGAGCTGTAGGGATGAAACAAAAGTGAAATCCTTAATTATTCAGTTGACAATAGAACTGTAAGATCTAAAAGAATTAACAGTAAGGTTGTCTATTGATACCTTGATACTAAAAAATACTAATACTAGTATTTAAACTAGAGACTGAGTTGTAATATTGTATTTATATTGTATAAAATGCATAAATATGAAAAAAAAATACTGTTTTCTAAATTATTATAGAATAGTCTTGGTCTATATCAGAACTAGTATTAACCCACCAGGTAATTTGAAAGAAGAAAATAAGAATCGTAACAACACTAATATTACTGTTTAAAGGATTCTTGATTCACTTTCATGGACATTGCTTTTACTATAACCTGCTTCTTTTTTTATTGCAGCATTTGGTGACCCAGCAGAGAGACTCAGACCCAGAAGAGTACAAACGTTTGACCAGTGAAAGAGAATCCCACCTCAAACGCATCCAGCAGCTGACAGAAGAGGGCGCTAAGTCAGTCTTTTTACCAACATTATATTACACAATTCTTTGGTGTGATTTATTAATTGTCTGACTGTTATTTTATTTTCAAAGGGCCAATAATATGAACACAGCGCTGAAGAATCAGATGCAGTCTTGCCGTGAAGCTTTGGCGAAAATGACTGAGGAGAGAAATAATTTGAAGGCGGACTTAGAGGCGAAAATTCAGAATATACAGGACAAAATAAAGACCATCACGCAGGTCAAGAAGATCGGACGGCGCTACAAACTCAATATGATGAGCTCAAGGTGCAGCATGACAAGGTAATACGCTGTCAATATATACATTTACTTTAGGGCTGTGCTCAAAATATCAGTACGGCAAATTTGGTAATATATCGTGATAGACTTTATGATCTTACTGTAACTGAATGCTTTTAAACAACATAAATTCATTATAAATTGCAGAGTTATTCACATATTAACCTGGTAACTACTTCTGTAAGGCTCTGGTTTGCTGAGGAGACGATTTTGTTTTAATGTTAAAGGTGCACTGCGTAAATTTCTAGAGGATTGTCCACCACCTGCTTATCTCCATGGAAATAATATTGCTTTGTCTAGAATGTTCCACAGTACGCACTTAGACCTATCTATCTTAATGGAGACTAGCAAGTTACATGGCTAGATCTGTGGAGAGGGACACAGCTCACAGTAAGGATGTATTTTTTACAAGGTATAGCTGAGGGAAAAAGTCTATAGCATCTTGCTAGACAGAATATTCCAGACAAGGCACAAACATCTAAATGGAGACAAGCAAGTGGTGGATGCTCCAAAAGAAAAGTTCTGCAGTGCATCTTTCATATTTGTCTTTGCTACATCAATTTACCTTTTTGCTGTATTTTGGTCATTATCACATGCACACATGTGAACTATATCACATCAGAATTTTTTATATGGTCTTTCAATAATCTGATAATTCACATGGAGATGTTTCTGTATTCAGTTTTGTCCAAAGTATGTGTTGAATAGTCTTCATAATGCTGTGTTTTGTTTTAGCTGGTAGCAGAGACAGCAGCAGGACCATCCCAGGATGAAGAGACGCGTCAGGCCTCTGCTCAGGAGATACAGGCCCTCAAAGACTCTCTGAACCAGGCAGAAGCAAAGGTGAAAGAGCTGGAGGCTCAAGTGGAGAAAACCACCAAGGTAAAGAGCTATCATTTTGTGCTTTCGAAATTAAAGGTAACGCTGCACGCAGCTGAGATCAGGAGATCATTCTGCCCTCTGATTGGGTACACCATTTGAAAACCAAAAGAAAACCTATTCTATTGATTGTATATGTAATTGGACGTACTTAACCTGCTAGCTGCTGCGTTCCAAAGGGAAGTGAGAATGGGGGCACTTCCCACTCCATCACCTTTCTGTAACTTCCACAATTAGCCTTGCCATTTTGGTCTTAAAATGTTTGTATCAACCTGCTCTAAATGATCTTGGTATTTTTATTTTGCTATTTTGATTGGTTTTGACTGCTAGCCTCGTGAGCTTCATTTGACTGGAGCCGTACACTGGGTGACTTCACTCTCCCTTAGTTCACTTCTTTATGCAGACTATGATCTGTACCAGATTTAGTCACACATAATATGACACAAATCTACATTTAACTGTAAAACTTTTTATCAGTCACCAATGTGGATGAAAGAGCCTTGTTCTTCTCTGTATCTATCATTTTTTGCTAAGAGCTGATTGGCTCTTATTAAGGCTAATGTGTATTGTTCCTTTCCAGTCCCTTTCTGTGCTAAGTTTTAATGATATGTTGATTTTTCTTGTCCAGGTTGTGACAGAGAGAGACTCAGAGCTGCGCAGCTGTCAGGAGCAGACGAGCAGACTGCAGACGGAGCTGAACAGACTGAGACAGGACTCAGACACTCAGAAACAACAGACCACTGACAAAGAGGAGAAGATGAAGAAGGCTCTGTTCTTTGCCAAGCAGAAGATCAGCCAGCTCATGGGTACAACTAGAACTATATATAATATTTAAGGTTACCCAACATAAAAAAATTTTCTCTTTTCTTTTATTTCTATTTGTGGATATTATAGTTGTGATGAGGAGTGTAAAATAAGTCTTTAGGTATCTGTTGATTATTGCATATGCAATTTATCATTTACTGTATGATAATGCAATTTATTATTTATGGAAACATCCAAAATAAAACTTATCATCATAAAAATGTATTAAAATGAGAATGTATATGTATTCAGCCTGTAGTACTGTTAGAAATGCAGTGAAATTTTAAACTGGATAAGAATAGAAACATAATCTATTTAAAATACCTCTTTGCTATATTAGTTTGCCCTTTTTGAAAAAAGTTGAATATGCAACTATTTAGAAAAATCGGATAACTGTAGTAATTGGAGGATGATCAGATCTTTTATGGGCATGTGAATGTAGCCAGTGTTATACCAGTCTAACCAATTTCTTTGTTTTCTCTGTTTTCAGGAAACAAGGAGCAGATGCAGAAGGAGAATGAGGAGCTGAAGCAGCAGCGTGAGGAGCTGGAGGTGCGAGTGAGTGCTCTGAAGTCTCAGTATGAAGGACGTCTGAGCCGACAGGAGCGAGAGCTCAGGGACCTGCGCGGGCATCAGGACGGCAGGGACCAGAGGGACGAACCTGCCGAGGCAGGACCCAGCAAGGTACAGGATGGGGGGTTTGGTACAGTGTGCTTAGACACTAGGGGCTGCTAGATTATTGCAAACATATATATTCTGATTGATTGCAAACATATATATTCGAACTTGAAACTTCAGCACAATTTCAACTCATAGCAATAACTAATGTAATCTTCTGTTTTAGACCCAGGAGCAGCAGAGGAGCACTGAACAGAGACAGATCAGCCTCAAGACCACTCCAGCTGCAGATAGGGGCAGGTATGTGTGTCAGATTCACTTCAAAAGCATGTTTAAGTTTTCAGAACTCGTGTGTTGAATTTCAACAAAGCTATGATTCAAAACTTTTCATACTCTGTTCCACCTGTTCAATATTTGGGTTTCCAGTAACCACCAGATATGTAAATTTGGTTATTATTTGTCTACTCGGTCTATCTTCTGCTGAACATACATACCTTGAATAATGTACATAAACACAATTGCACATGTATTAAAAATAAGATATTGGCTGCTTACAAGTTAGTGATTTTGTTCCCAGCGCGTCCACCTCTGAGCCTCCCACTGCGAACATCAAACCGACTCCTGTGGCTTCAGCGAGTAAACAGACAGCCATTCCTGGAAACAAGGCCACACCCAGAGCCAGTATCAGACCCATGATCACACCCGCCCCCGTGCCCACGCCCACACCCACCGCTACTGTCATGCCCACTACACAGGTGGAGACTCAAGAAGGTAAGATGAGTGGATAGCCTTGTAAGTAGCACTTATGATTAGGGATTTAATGATAGCCAAATCTCTCAGTACAATATTTATTGTGATATATAAAAAAATTGTAAATATACAACTTCTTCCTTTTTAAAATGCCTTGATAAGACTGACATAATCAAACATATTAAGATTTCAGAATCAAAGTGTTAAATAAGTTATTTTTCAAGTAGTCTGCACTGAAACTGAGCAAAGGATCATGGAGACTTACTTATTATTGTGAGATTTTTGAAGAAACAGTATCACTATAGTTGGGTTATTGTAACATCCCTAGTTGTCATGAAACAAACATTTTGATTTTTGAAATTTGATTCTATTGATTCCTTTCCGATATTAAGTTTGTCAAAATCCCCTTTCAGAAGAAGATAATATTTGAATTTGAATTGCTTTATTGCTATAACAACAAAGGACAACTCTCATGCCAAATCCTTCAAAGGACTATTTATATTAATTTAACAAGAGAGAGAAAAATATAGTATGCCAATACTGGGGAAGTAATAATATCCAAATCTCTCAGTATGATATTATCACAATATGCATCTCACGGTGATATTTTGTCAAATATAATTCGAGATGGGACACTTTTTTGTTTTTAAAATATTAAATAAAAATTACTGTCAGAATCCTAAGAATTTGAGTAAAAAACTTTTTTCTTCATGTTGTCTGTGTTGAAATGAATCATGGGACACATAGTTCCCTGCATTGCTGTTCCCACTAAAGAACAATGCATTTAAGCAAAGGAACTTACAATTCAATATATTGTGACAGCTCTCGATATTATTGTGAGACTTCTGACAATATGATATCACGATATTTCAGTTATTGTTACATCCCTGCCTATATTTTTTTCCCCAAATATGCCATTTTAATTGATTACAGATTTATCTACCATCCCATTTTACTGCAAATTGGGTAAGAGAGCAGTGTAGTTAAGTCAGTCAAGTGTTTAAATGACACTTTATGACAATTTTTAGGCAGCTGGTTGACCCAAACAAATTAACACACTCTGCTGGAGATTTAAGGCAGATAGCGGATACGCAAAAAAATGCAAACATTGGTCTATCTCTACTCATTACAACTCACTGACTTTAAAATAAACATTTGCTTTTCTCCCTATAGCAGTGCAGTCTACAGAAACCCCTCCAGTCGAACATGTGACAGTGTACGGCAGCGCCAGCGGGTCTGTGCGCTCTGCTAGCCCTAATGTCCAGACCACTCTTGCTAGCCCTATGCTAACAGTGCAGCAGGTCCAGACTCAGGCCACTGCATTCGTCCAGCCAACGCAACAGCAGAGCGTGACCCATTCTGAGCCGGCCAATCAGGATCCTCCTCCTCTGGTGTTTGAAACGCCCAGCCAGCAGGTGGAATGGCCCTCGACATCCTCCACCTCCTCTGTGTTTGGGACAGGTGAGAAAATGTTCATTCAGATACTTCAACAATTCATCAGGTTATTAAAGATGCACTGTGTAACTTTTTTGGTCATTCTCTTACCAAAAGTTGTAATCCCCTCCCACTGTCCATGTCTTGGAATCTTTTTAAAGGGCCCATATTGCACTATTTTCTGATCTGTTATGTTGTTTCCTCGTCACAAACAGACATGGAGCTATGTTTTGCCTCATTCACACATAAAACAAAAAATGACATAATGAAAATCTGCTCCATACTAACTTGAAATACCAAGATACATTTACATCATGCAGAATAAAGCATCAGATAAGAACACTTTGAAAACCCAATCATATGACCTGATTTTGGATCTGTGTTTACTACTAACACCAGAAAAACATACTCTGTCTTCTTTGAATTTACTGATCTTTCAAAATCATAAACCTTTGCTTTTTGTTTGCCAGTCTCTGCTACCCCGGGCACCTCTGCCATGTCCAAACGGCCCAGGGAGGAAGAGGAGAGCTCCACTGTGGTGACCGAGGCAGAGGTCCCGTCTGAAGACACCTCCAGAGCTCCCATCTCCAAGAAGCTGAGAATCATCCAGAGAGTGGGACCAGAGGTAAGACTGTTTAAATCTGTGTGACATACAGGAAAAAATTTGCTCATGGTTTAACAGTGGGGTTACAACGTTAACATACCTAACCTGCCATGTTCCAAATAGGAAGGAGTACAACTCTATTGACTCTGGCTTCTATTCTCTTTGCACTGAGAATCTGTAACTGCTGTAGTGAGCCTTGTCATTTTGGTCTGAAAATGTTGATATTATCTATGATCCTGGTGTTTTTATTTCACTGTTTTGTCTGGAAATTAATTCCTATTCCTATTATTGAACTCGGCTTCAAATTCGCTCCTATAACTGCTAGACTTGTTTTAATCCCAATAATTACTCGCATAAAATTTTGTGGATTGTATTTCATTTAAATAATGTTAAGTTCCAAAAATTTGATGATAATCAGATTTTCTTGTGCATGTGAGCAATACCACTGTGTGGGCAAGAGTGGTGATGGTGGTGGTGGTCACAGGTGTCGGTGGTGCAGATTGGCAGCCTTCCTTCTATCAGTCTACCCTGGGGCACCTGTTGCTGCAGTAGTAGCTCACCGTTATCAAGTAACACTGATTGTCTGGAACCATATAACACTATATAAAAATATTGTTTTCATTCAGGAGGAGATGTTGACTGAAGACAGTGCTGAGGCTGAAGGAGTTGTGCCAACAGACAGTCAGGACCTCACAGAAGCCTCTCAGGTTAGGCTAAGATTTATTCTCTTAATTCTTCTAAGTAAAATAAATAAATGGTTAAATAAAAGTTTTGTATTTGTGTTTAGGATGAAGACTTCCAGACTCTGGAGGAGGAAGAGGAGAGCACAGTGCCTCAGTCTGTGATGGAGCCAGAGGGACCACAGGGGGAAACCTCTGAGCAGCAGAAAGAAGTGATTGTTATTTTAACTGATTCTGAGAGCGAGGAAGGACAAGAGGAAGAGGAGGAAGAGGAGGAGGATGAACAGGTACTTTTGTTTGTTGGAATTACTATTCTTAAGATATAATACTTGTACATAATACTTACAAGGTACAGTATACATTTTTTACGCTCTTAAAAACCTGGAAAACTGAACAAATTCCAGACATCTCATTACTTTGCTGAAATGAGTTTGTAAGTACATGTCTCACTTATAAGGGCAAAGCGGAGTCGAGTGTCACATCAGTTCTAGCAAGATTTTTTTGTGTGAAATGCATTATAATGTGGCCTTTGTAGGAGTATGATGAAGAGGAAGAAGAGGAGGAGGAAGAGGAGGATGAGGAGGGAGATGAGGATGAAGATGATGAAGACAGTAATGAGGGCGGTGGAGACGCAGAGGCCTATGAGGAAGAGGAGGAGGAGGAGCCAGAGGTGAGTTAACTGTAACACGATGAAATTTCATTTATAATGCACACAGATAGATTTCAGTCACTTCATATAAGAAAATATAGCCACATGAGTTTTCAGACCATCTAAAACATAACAAAAAATACAAAATGGATTGAACTACACATTTTATGAAGCCTGTGATGCATACGAGCATCTGTACTCCAATTCTAGTGTTTGTTTTTCCACATAAATAGTGAGTGTGACTAAAGGAAAAACTACAATTGGCTAATGCTGGCTTATGACTTCATTGTAATTTGAGTGAGACTGGTTTAACAGCATAAATCAGCTTATATGTTGTAGTTCCAACCAAATTTTTTTTTTCAAGTTCAAATTGCCTGTAGTTGAATATAACTTGAGTAACAGAGCTTCAGACAGAGCAGCGCCTCCAGTTAGCTTCACCCCCCAGACATGTTGCATGATATTATACAAAAAGTGCCAGTAGGTCCCTCTCGAGATTTGTATTGTATTTGTAAAGGGTCCAAACTAGACTAGATTATAAGGTGTAAGTTTTTTTTAGATGATAACTGTTCTTAAACATCTTTTATTAACCATAGTTTTGTTAGTTTTTTTTTTGAAGTTCACCCTTCACAATAATTAGTGTATCGACTTATTGTTCAAAATATGAAAGCTTGAACAATGTTTTTAGGTTTCAGTGTTTATCGTGTGTACATTTTATTTTATTTTTTGCTATATGATAAAATTTAAGCTGTAAAAGGTTGAATTAATAACTTATATGTAAGTGAAGTTCTAAAGAGTTTCATTCTACTATTTATTTTTTTACAGCTCGTGTTTTTTTTTGTTTTGTTTTTTTTTACAATATTGTAGATTTTGAATAGTTCTTGTGGTTTAAATCTGCTCTTGGGGTTTAGTGTCAGTACCATAAATTTGTCTTTTATTGTCTATGTTTACTTCAGTAATATATCGCAATCATGATTTAGAAGGAAAGTTTAGGGGTTGCAGTAACATGACATGTTCCTGACCGAAAAAGGTTGGGCTCTGACTGTGAATTTAACTAATTTCTAGTCTAAACCTAAACAAGTTTGCTGCCATAGCACATCTGTCACATCTCAGACCAGTGTAACTCTGCCTCTGTGTTAATATTGACTTTAGTTGTTTATTTTCCACCTCCAGTCTCTGTGGTCCGTGTTTTTGGGGTGAGTCAGTGTCTGTAAATGAAACAGCTAATGACCTTTTTCACTTTTAATCTTGTGTGAGGGATTTTGAGGTGAGGGACTGACAGCCAGTACTACTCTACAAAATATTTACCATTTAATGTAGTGTGTGTTATGTGTAGTTAAAGGGCCCATATTACACAATTTTGTAATCTATGTTTTAATGTTGTTTCCTCATCAAAGACACTCCTAGAGTTGTTTTGTTTCATTCACACATGTTTAACACACAATTCAAGCATATTTAGGTTGTGTTATTTTCTCAAGCAGAAAATGCTGAAGTTTTTCCACCTTGTGATGTCATGTGGTGATACAGGAAGTGTTTTTAAACTCCTTGCACCTTCACTAGAATCATTTGGATAATTTCAGTTGTAGAATTGCCAATCTCTACTGAACTAAAGCTAAACTCAACTAAAAGCTAACTTAAGAACTACAGCTCCATGACATCACAAGGTGGAACAGAGCGTTTTGAGTCTGAGATGTAGACAAACTAATAAAAAATGGTGTGAATGAAACAAAACACAACTCAGATATGTTTTGGATAAAGAAACAACATTATAACATGGCTTACAGCTCACACTCACTTAAAGAATCAATTTTGCACAATATAGGGCCTTTTAATTTATTTTTATCATCTCTTCTTTCTGTTATTTTAATAATTCAATAAGAATCTCAAATTTCCAGGACAACAATTACAATATTCATAATCCCTATAGATATTCCCGGTCACAGACTCAACGATGCCGGGTAAAGTGGAATTTTATAAGTGGGATTTCTTTTCCCTCAAACTGACTTTAAAAACTTCCTGGAAGCCATCGTTTTCCCACACATTTAAGTGGCACGTATGGAAACACTGGAATACATGGGCTCTGTTTTAAAGGGCATATTTGTTCCACTTAACTGAATCCAGATGGAGACGGTGACTTGCAAAATGTGTGGGAATAAACTGTTTATACATTCTAAAACACCACGAAATATGACTTTTTATTTTTCTTGGTAATGCATTTCACTCACCATGACACTTTGAATATGTGTGTGTAATCAAGCAGTCATTACGAAATATTTTTATCATTGATAGAGCCAGATCCTTTGTTGTCTAGGATTTCTGTGTTTAAACCATCACTGCATAAGATTGCTGGTAGCAGATACTAATATTTAGCCTGATTCAGCCGGTTTCACTTCATGGAAACTGTCTGACCTTGCAGCGTTAAGATTTGTTCGCTCAACGGTAGGCATGTACTTTTTTAATTTAACCACTCGCTGCTATTTTATCGTGACATATAATGCGCCGCTAACGGGGGTAACTGTTATATTAAACTTTTCCCAAATTTCGTCTGAAGAAGGCCAATAATGTTTTTCCCCTTGATAAAAGTCACTAAACATTCTCTTTGTTTCGTCTTTAAATCCTCGATCTCGGGAATCGTTGCCAACACAGAATGTACGGCTCTTCGCTGATTGGCTGGTGCCCGGACTCGCACTTCAGAGGTTCTTGCAAAACCATCTAGTGTATTCCGATTCCTGGCCTAGTCGCTCGAGAGAAATGAAATTGAGCGGAGGCACTAGGTGGTAACTAATGTTGTCATGGCACAAAAATTTCAGTACTAAGGATTAGACTCTATACTGATTCAGATACCACAGTGATGATAAAAACACTCTTTATTCAGACAGTGTGTTTTCAACATTAAATCATAGGTCATGATCTTATATCTTTGTGATCCCTCAGTGGTACAGTATTTTCCATAGTGGTCCCGGGGCATATACTAGTCTATGTGCGCTTATACTTGTTCTGATACAGCTCAAGATCATTCCATTCTGAAGATATTCAGGAAAGATTCATTTCTGTCCTGTGAATGTGACTTTTTTTTAGCATTCTTACCTGCTCAAATGAGTATCTAGTTTCAATACTAGTTTTAGTATCGATTAGTATCTAATTTGATCCCTGCTTGGGAATGTACAACAGTATTATATTCTAACATTGAAGTCTAGAATTATTTAATCTTAAAATTGTGCAACTTTTGTGGTGAAGGATCCATCAAAAGCTTTTCTACATGGTGATGTCCTAAACCTTTCTATCTTCATGGAGACCAAACCAGACCAAGTTTAACGTCAGATCTATATAGAGGAAACCCCGCTCACAGTCACAATTTCTGTTGTTCTAGGTATTTTTGAGCTATAAAACCACGTGTATTTCAATAAATGTAAGATTGAACTTTTTAATGTCATACTGTGGAACATTTCAGGCAGAGCAGTGACCCTCCACCAGAAAAGTTACACAGTACACCTTTTAAATATTACTCATGATCAGTTTTAAATGAGTGTTCTGTTCTTGTTTTCTCAGAGCGCTGATGTAACAGACCCAGGCACAGAGACAGAGGAGAGCGTAGGGGCGTCGGACTCCACCCAGAGACCAGCCGATTCCCAGACACCGAGCTGTAAGATCCAGGAAACCCCATGTGACCCCCACCTCACATGTGACCTCCACCTCACACATGCTCACTGTCCCAACACCCAGGAGATAACAGACACTTCATCACTGGAGCTAGGGCTGGATGATTTGGAAAAAAATGTATCATAGACGGGTTTTTCTGACGAGTCTCGAGTAGATTTGAGGTTTATTTAAAGGTGCCATCAGCTGCTTGTTTCTATGGATATGTCATTGCTCTGTCTTGAATATTCCACAGTAAACAGCTGTACTTTACATTTATTCAATTATAGGTGATTTTATAGCTCAAAAATACCTAGAAAAAGAGGCATTCTGGCTGAGCGGGATCGCCCCTCCACAGATCTGACCTGTAACTTACTCTGGTTTGGTCTCTGTGAAAATGGAAAAGTTTAATACCATACTGTGAAACACTCCAGACAAAGAAAGAACATCTCCATGGAGAAAAGCATTTGCAGGACCCTCCATCAGAAAAGTTACACAATGCACCTTTAAGACAAGTCACGTTTATTTGTAGAACACAATTCGTACACAAAGTAATTCAAAGTGCTTTAGAGAATAAGAAAGATATTCAAAATCACTTTATCAACAAATTAAAACATAATCATGATAGAATTAACATTAAAAGAGCAGAAAGCGAAATAAAAGCCTGGATTTTAATACTGTCAAAGTAGAGCCCTGTCTCACATGTAATAAAACAAATCGGTTCAAAGTTCAATTCCTAAAAGACTGAAATCTGAACTGACAAACTAATATAAAAATTACATTTCAGAGCATGTTTGTACAGATCTAAACTACAGGGTTAGCCAGGGTTTTGTGCAGAATAAGACTGGAGATTTTGTTGTTTGTAGATGAAATAATGGTACTTAATCTCAGTCTTTCATTCTCATTCTGCCGTCTAGACCCTGCTGCTGCTGATCTGTAAGTGTCATCGGCCAATTAGACAGAATATTATAGCCAAAAACACACAAACTGCTTAATTTATCTAACTGACTTCATCGGTTTATGTTTTCGCGAGAAATGACTCAGGCGATTACGCTGCGAGGCCAGTGAAATGTCAGGTGTTGATGACTGTCTGGAAGGAGAGGAAAACGGTACTGATGCTTTGTAGTGACATCACATCAGGATGGGGGGGGTTCTGCATATAGGCCTATGTAAAAAATGTTCAGCAGCTACCATGGTGACACAGTGCACACATTAGCAAACAGTCTGATAAGTTTTTAGTCTGAAAACTCCAGAAAAAAGTACAAAATTGATTTAAATGACACATTTTCAGAAGCCTGTGATCAATCTATGGAAGAATGTTCAGCAGTTACCATAGTGACACACACTGCGCACATTTACAAACACAGGCTGATAAGCTTTTAGTCTGAAAATTCAAGAAGAAAAAATACAAAATGCATTTAAACAACACATTTTCAGAAGCATGTGAACGATACGAGCGTTCTTGGTCCTTTTAAGGAGTTTGACTTTCAACAAAAAGGTGAGAGTGACTATCAGCTCACCTGTTGTATTTCCAGCTAAAGCACTTCTTTATGGTCACATTTACATTAAAACAAAACTCAGATTAAACTCTAACTTGAGTAACAGAGCTTCAGACAGAAAGGTACCTTCTTTGCAGTGGTCCAAAGTTATTCCTCACTTAGCTTAAGCAAACTGGGTACCCTAATTATTCACCGTAATGAGTAGAGCTGGGTATCCAGGGCTTGAAATTAAGCATTTACAAGTACTTGCCCGGGCAAGTGGCTATAATTTTTTACTTGCCCGACACCCAGATCTACTTGCCCAGAAAAACAAAACAGTGCTCAGTTCATTATATATTTTTAAATATATGCACAGGCTAGTGTCATAGTACTCTAGACCGTTTTTTACGGTCTTGGTCTCGTCTCTTTTTAAAACATCCTACATGTCCACCTGCCTCACGTCAGCGCACTGCTCCTTACCTTTTCACCTCTCGCTCCTCCCTGCATATAACGCAAACGGGCTTCCTCCTCAATGTCCACAGATTAGAAGAGTAATACAAAATGCGAAGCAAAAACTAATCCAAATTTATGTTACATTGTTGGCACAAAGCAGGACTACTGCTACATGTGGTTGAAGTTTGCCTAATAAAAGTGCTCAAAATGCATCTGTGTTTGTAATAACATGCGTTTGATTAATGTGCAGAGGCTTGAATCCCACTGCAAAACCAGTAAGAGAATGTAACTCCAGTTAGAAACTTGACAAAACAGGTTTAAAAATCCTACCAGCTTTATTCACTTTGAAGCAGTTTTGTGTAAAATGCCAATGGAAGTTCTCTTAAAGAAGGCGTTCTCAAACTGTGGATGAGAGTCCAAAAAAGTGCAGTACAGTTTGCTTGGATTAATTTAAGCTTAAATTCACATTTATCAGATAAAATGAAGATGGATTTCAAACAAATATTGATATATATGTGCTAAAATAACTGTAAAATACAAATAAATGTCAAAAATTACACAGATGGTCTTGATTTGGTTTTGATGGGCCATGGTCTCAGTCTTGTCTCTGTCTTGACCCTCAGAGGTTTTGGTCTAGTCCTGATCTCGGGACCCTGAGGTCCCGGACAGATTTTGGCAAATGAAAAAGTGTGTCCAAATTTGTATGTATATGAGATGAAAACGACTATCGTTGGTCTTCTCATTAAATAGTTTTCTCTTGTATCCATTCAGAGATCTAAGAGTTGAAACACAACGTGCCTCAGGTTGTCAGACCCAGGGCAACCTGAGGCATAAAAATATAAAGTGTAAGTATACACTTTGCGCACTTATGAAGAAAACTACTACATATCTCTGTCCTCTGCAGGATACAGTGGAGTTAGTTTGGAGTTTAAATTTAGGTCCTTGTTCGCGGCGCGCTTCTCATCGATGCGTAATGCGTGATACACGCCCCGCTCACAGAGCGCAAGGGACGCTTGGAGACACCTCGGTACCGCCCGAGTGAATGTTATTCTCTAAAGCGCGGGCTATAATAATAACCTATGTATTTTTAACTAGTTACTGAGATTACCGAGTAGGCCTAATAAATATATCGACAATTTTTGGAGTTGGGTTTAGCCCTGAGTTCGCTCTTTGTTCCGATGCGTAATGAAGCTTCCTGGAGATGTGATGGTAGAGTGAGAGACAGAAAAAAAGGGGTGGAGTGGCGCGGTCCGCACTATGGGACATTTTTGATTGACTGGGCAAAGATTGCGGAGCAGGAGGCAGGGTAATACTACGTCTGTTTTATTTAGGCTGCCTTACAGTCAGTGGGAAAGACAAAACATGGTGATGCGCACAGCAGCGCGCATGAAGTGAGCATCGCGGCCGTTTTTCGCGGCAGTCAACAACGTTGGACTTTTCTGTTCCTTTCACGAAAAAAAAAAAAAAAAAAAAGCGTTATGAGCAGACAACCCGTCGCTTCGTTTTTCAAACCAAATTAATAGTTATTATTATTGGGGGACTAGATTTGTGTGGCTTTATTTTCACTTGCCCGCTCGGGCAAATCGGCAGACGAGAGTACTTGCCCGGACAAAACTTTTAGTTGCCCGGGGCCAGCGGACAACAGTCGAGCCCAGCTATCGTTCAGAAGTTGCCAATACAATTACGTATCTTGATACATAAGCCACAATACAATGCATATCTCAATACAGTGCACTTTTGATTCAATACAGTACGATATATTTCAAATTGATTTGACACAATTCAATAAAAAATAACTGCTAAATCATGGCTGTGACACTAACAGTCTTTGTTAAACCACTTCTTGTGCAAAGTTCATATGAAATGCACCTATTTTAATCCTCAAAACAGTGAAAATGTCAAATGTGTCGCATGAACGAGTTTTGCCTTCTCTAAACAAGCAACAAAACTATAACAAAAACTAACTGAAACAAAATAATTTAGTAAAATATACCAAAAAATACTCTTGGTGAGATATCGATACAGTAGCCCACGATATCGATACTGTATCATCACATCAAACAATACGATATATCAATATTTCAATATTTTTGCAAACTCCTAGTTATGAGTTTATAAGCACTTTACACAACACAACAAATTTTACTTAAGTAAATGGAAAAAATCAGATACAGGCCTTTAAAGGTACACCACACAACTTTTCTGGTGGAGGTTCTGCTACCTACTTGTCTCCATGGAGATGTTATTGCTTTCCCTGGAATGTTCCATGATATGACATTATCATTATCGGTGTTTCTATTGCTCAAAAATACCACAATTCCTTCTGTGAATAGAGGCGACTTTCCACATGTTTGTCTCAATCATGATAAATAGGTTTGATCTATACTGTGAAACATTGTAGTAAAAGCAGTGACATTTCCATGGAGACAAGCAGGTGGCAGACTTTCCAGTAGAAATGTTACACAGTGCACTTTTAAATATAATGTTTACATGCCTGGTTTTACATGAAGTAGCTCCAGATTCCCAGCGAGTAAACTGTAAAATCCAGGAAACCCTTCTAACCCTCACCTCACACGTGTCTGTCCCGACTCCCATTAGATACGAGACACATCATCACTGGAGAGAGTGTAATGTGTTGATGTCTGTCTGAGTAGGAAAGGACAGGAAAATACAGAATTATGGACAAACAATGGGGCCTTTATACTGCTCCCTTCATTCTACAGAGACATACAGTATAGAGCTGGACAGTATGTTATGTAAACATGGTACATAGGCTAGAGCAGCGCTTTTTAAACTGTGGTACGCGGACACTTCTGTACTTGTGTTTTTTTGTTTATTTTATTCATAAAGTGTAAAAAGACAAAAACCGTGTAAACATACAAGAAATGGATGAAAAGTAGAAGAAAAAAAGATTAGTCTGGAAGAAAAGTTATCTGACCCCTTTTCCAGTACAGTACATTAACACTGATAGTTACTTTAAAACATTTCAAATTAATATATTTTATTTCAATCACAAATATTAATATCAAACAGACATCTTCACTTTTCTGCACAAACACTTCAAATATTTGTTAAATTAAGAGTCTGTTTAAAGAGCCCTTGTTATGTTATTTTCTGATCTATGTTATAATGTTTTCTCATTTTAAAACAAACCTGGAGTTGAAGCCTGCATTTTTTTAGGCTGAGTTGTTCTCTCAAACTAAAAACGTTCTGTTCCACATTGTGATGTCATGTGGTGACACAGGAAGGGAGCACTCTATTGTGTTTTTAAACTCCGTACAGCTTCACTAGAATCATTTGAATGATTTCAGACCTGGAACTGCCAAGCTCCACTGAACTAAAGGTTTTTAACTTAAACTGTGACTACGTGACATCACAAGGTGGAACAGATCATTTTGAGCTTTGAATGATGAATAATGAATGAAACAAAACACAATTTCAGATTATAACATGTCTTAAAGCTCAATTTGCGTAATATAAGACCCTTAAAATATGATAATCTTCCAGTAATCTCATGTACTTCTTGTTATTTCAGATGAGGGCAGTGCAGCCGAGGCCTTCTCCACGGAACAACCGATCACAGGCTCCGGTACTCGTATGCCTCAGTCGCCACGGAGATCGATGCACCAACCGCAACGTCTGAACGTCCACCAGAGCTCAGAGCTGGGTCCCCTCACTCAGGTCCAGGTGAGAGAGGAGGACTATCAACCAATTATTCAACCAGTTATAACCTGAAATTTAGACGGAGAAATGGCTCATCATGGGTATCTGTTTAGAACTTTTATTTTGATATTTGTGTGGAGCTAGGCTTGGTTGAACTCTTACCCCAAGTTTCATTGTCAACTTTGTGACATTATTATAATTCCCTTCTTTTTTTTTTTACAGCGGATTCCTGGACGCCGGCAATTGGCTCAGCTTGGTCATAGTGTTCCAGGCAGTACTGTAAGTAATATCAGTGTGGGTGTTTCCAATTTGTAGTTTAGTCATTTTCCATGGGATCAGGGACACTTTGAATAATTTGTTTAATGTTGTTAATTGCTGTGGCAACATTCCTAATTTTCCGTTGCTCTGAAACCCACGGAACCCAGTCACAATAGTGTAATGTGTTTTAAATCCGTGTATCATTCGTTCATTCGTTTTTTCAATATAAAACCAAAAACAACAGTTTTCTTCGTTATTTGTCTCCAAAACCAAAATGAAAAAAACGGATAATGATTCGTTTTTTCAGTTTTCGATTTTGTGTTTAAATGAAGAATGGAAAAAACGGATAACGGCCGTTTCCCGTTTACGTGACTTCCGTGACTGCGATGCCGGACTTTTGCACCGGGTACGGACTGATCCGGGACCAGACCGGGACCAGACCAGGACCAGACCGGGACTGGGGCGGACTCCAAGCTTTGACTCTGAGCCTCCGCGGGGTCCGAGCCTCAGCTTCGAGCTCCGGCCCTGCCGTGGGCTCTGAGCCTCCGATCTGGTCTCGGTCTTGTCTCGGTCTTGTCTCGGTCTTGTCTCGGTCTTGTCTCGGTCTTGTCTCTGTCTTGTCTCTGTCTTGTCTCGGTCTCAGGCCCGCTGTGGTCCCGGTCTGGTCCCGGACCTGGTCCATTTGAACCAAAAGCTCTTAGTTGGGTTCGTTTTCGTTTGTGTGAAAGCGTCAGTTGGATGCTTTGCACCACCTCGGAACCAGCCGTGGTTCTTGAACGCGGAGGACTGGAGCAGCCCGTCCGGACCTGTAGTCCACAGCGCATTCTCACTTTCCCCACACGGAACCAGCGCGGAGACGATGACACGGAACCGCTCGGACCACTGGTTTCGGTCTCAGTCCCGCTCTGGTCCCGCTGTGGTCCCGGTCTCAGTCCCGCTCTGGTCTCGGTCTGGTCTCAGACCTGGATCAGTCCTAGTTCAGTCCGTACCCGGTGCAAAAGTCCGGCATCGCAGTCATGGAAGTCACATAAACGGGAAACGGCCGTTATCCGTTTTTTCCATTCTTCATTTAAACACAAAATCGAAAACTGAAAAAACGAATCATTATCCGTTTTTTCATTTTGGTTTTGGAGACGAATAACGAAGAAAACTGTTGTTTTTTCATTTTCTTATTTTTGGTTTTATATTGAAAAATGAATGAACGAATGATACATGGATTGTTTTAAATTATTATGAATCGTGGTTCTAATTTTACATCGTTCTGAAACTCATGGATATTTTGCGTCTTCGTGGGTTTCAGCTTCATGTTATCTGCGACATTTTGAGAACCTGTTCCCATTCAAACTATAAAATAATGTGCAAATAATTGCTAATCGCTATGGCAATGGTCCTACTTTTGCATCATTCTGAAACCCAGGGATGTTTTGCCTCTTTGTGGGTTTCAGCTACATGTGAGCTGTAACGTTTTGTGTTCTCACTTCCATTCAAAAAGTATGAACATTTTTTTAATCTGTTAATCACTATGGCAACGGTCCTAATTTTCCATCAATCTGAAACCCTTGGATATTTGGCTTCTTCATAGGTTTCATATTCATGTCATCTGTGACATTTTGAGAACCTGTTCCCATTCAAAATATAAAATAATGTGTTTTAAATTGCTAATCGCTATGGCAGCGGTCCAACTTTTGCATCATTCTGAAACCCAGGGATGTTTTGCCTCTTCTTAGGTTTCAGCTTCCTGTTATCCGTGACATTTAGAGGACTTGTTCCCATCTAAAATATAAAATAATCTGTTTTAAATTATAAATCGCTATGGCAACGGACCCAATTTTCTATCAATCATCGATATTTGGCTTCTTCATAGGTTTCAAATTCATGTTATCTGTGACATTTTGAGGACTTGTTCCCATCCAGAATTTAAAATAATGTGTTTTAAATTGTTAATCGCTATGGCAACGGTCCAACTTTTGCATCATTCTTAAACCCTTGGATGTTTTGCACAATCTTTTGACAAATGAGCCTTTCTCATAGTCTTGTTCAAAATTGCAGAAGGGACGCAACTGGATGGAAATTTGAATTATTTTCGAATTTGAAACAAAAAATAAGCCAACTGTTTTGTATTCCCAGGGTAGAAATGTCATTAGTTTGATATTCTGTGACAAAGGTTGGACTATTTTCTCCCCTCAGTATTGTATTTGATCTTCTCTTGAGCGGTTTCATTTGTCAAACCCTCCTTATTTTTCATATTTTGTGTTATTCTGAGGCTCATCCCGCGTTCTTTTTCTGTTGAAATCACATTCTGTTCTACTTCCCCTCCACCTTTATCCATTGAGTGTGTTTATTGACAAACTTTTAAAGGGTCTATAGAAGCTTACATTGATCTTATGAGTGTTAAACTGTGAAAGTATAAAGTACGCAAAGTAACTGGTACAAGGGATGGGAGTTTATAAGCTGCTTCTTCTTACTTCCTTTCAAGCTTAATTTGTGATTGCATTTTAAATATGTGAGCTTTCACCATGTCAATATTGTGTAACATGTAACTACTGTCATAAGCTCGAGATTTAAATCAGTTAATCAGTTGGTTTCCTTCACAGCAGCACTTTGAGGATGATGACCGGATGGTGCCCAGTGCTCCGACTCTGGTGGCTCCTCAGCGCTCAGACAGTTTTGACCAGGCCTTACAGTAAGTCTCACACAAACATGATGTAACAATAACTGAAATATCGTGATATCGTATTGTCCAGGTTTTCACAATAATAAAAAAAAATTACAAGTCTCTTTGCTTAAATGAAGAGTTATGGTGCAGCAATACACGCATCCAGAATCTCAGACTTCCGGTCATTGCGCAATGCATACTGGGAAGGATTTTCCGAAAAAGTGAGCATCAAACCGCCATGTTTGATTTCCCAGTGGGATGCGTCTATTGACAAAGCCGACCTTTTGAAGTCTTTTGAACCATATCGCTTTTGTTTCTGGTTCTGATATTGTCATATTTTAGTTTTGGGATTCGGACATTGTTAATTGTTAATTATTATTATTGTTAATTGTTGGATGTCCTAACAGCGGAAAAAGGCTCGATTTGTATGCGAACTTCATAGATGCAAAAGGGAATCAGATCTGTGTGACTGCAAACCCCTGTAGAAACTGTTTCCCTTCCCAATGGAATTGAAAAATAGTGAAAGGTGAAGGCGATGGGCAGTACTGATCCACGGGAAGGACGAAAAAGGAAACTTTGACTGCCTAAATCATCCCAAGTTTGCAGCGAACATTTTGTATGTGGAGCACCATCCGAGAAGTCCGAGATTCTTGATGCGTGTATACCTAAAAAAGACAGAGGGAACTACATAGACCATGATCCTTTGCTCCATTTCAGTTTAGACTACAAGAAGAACTAACAGTTTTAAGCATTTTTAAGTCTTAGTTCTTTGGATTTAGTCTTGTAAAGGCATTTTAAAGGAAGAGAAAAAGTAGAATATTAACAATTTTATTAGCCTCCACAAAATATCGCAATATCGTACCGTGCGATGTATATCGTGAAAATATCATACCGAGAGATTTGGATATTATTACATCCGTAAGCATGAACCTGCCCACCATATCGTGAGCTTTCCCACGATATCGCAATAAATATCGTACAGTGACAATATTTTATCGTGAGACTTGGATCTCGCTACACTCCTAACAAACACAATCATCTTTCACAAATTATTAAATAGATTTTTTAGTAAGGTGCAATTATTTTTAAAGCTTTCATTTTCCATATTCCTATTATATTATCAAGATCTATAATGTGTTCAATTGGATTTAAAAAAAATCTTTTAAATTAATTTGTCATTGCTCGTGTGTGCTCTGGTCGTCTTCTGTCAGACTAAAGCTGGCACACTGTCAGTCAGCAGTAACGTAGATCGCCTCTAGTGGCGTTAAGTGAGAATACTGGTCTAATTACAAATGGTAGCTTTAAAACTTTCAAAAATATAGAAATAAAAAAGAAACTTGTTCAACCCTGCTTCAAAAAAGTTAATTTATTATAGTTATGAAAAGTTTAAGAACAGTTTTCAATCTTTTCCAGGTCCCCTCAAGTTGCAGGTGTCCCCCGCTTTAGATTTGGGATGACGGAAGAGGTCCCTCAGGCCAGCACCTCCACTCACTCCGACCTGGGAGAGCTCGCATCACAAGGAGGTACTGCACTGTTCAGGGAATGTGTTCCTCAAAAAAAAAAAAAAAAACATATACAAAAATGACCTGCTCACTTTGTTTTGATCTTCTCAGGTCTTGGGATGTTTGCTGAAGAAGAGTCTGGAGGTCGTAGTGTCCCAACCACTCCACTACAGGTCACAGCACCAGGTAATGGCTTATATACATGTGAAACAGCATAAAGGTACACTGTGTAACTTTTCTGGAACTCTTCTGGTCTCTTTGCAGATGTTGTTGCTTTGAATGGAATAGAGCTGCAACATCAAATCAAAATCATAATTTGCAGTTTTTAAGTACCATAATTTCCTCAACAAATGGCAAAACATTCAGTCTTATTCTGCGTAAAAACTGCTAACCCTAGGCTAGAATGTTCCACAGTAGGGCATTTAAATACTTCACCTGCTTGTCTCCATGGAGGTAAAGTTACAGGTAAAGTTGTAGGTCTGATCTGTGGAGAGGGTGTGTTTTTCAAGGTGCTTTTAAGGAAATAATAACACATATAATTAAATAAAAGATGGATAAATTTAATGTGATATTGTGGAACATTCCGGGCAAAGCAACATGGAGATTAGCCTGTGGTAGAACCTCCTCCTGAAAAGTCACATAGTGCACCTTTAAAAGAAGTGCTGATAGATTTGTATTGACTTGTTTCTTTGCCCTGTTTGTACAATGGCAGCCTTTTCCGAAATCGCTCCCTCGGACTCCACAGAGCACGCCTCCCAGTCTGTTCCCATGGTAACCACGTCCACACAAGGGCTGGTGTCAGGGACAGGTGCGGCAGGAGAGGAGAGAGACGACTTCCTGGAGCCTGACACTGACAGGTGAGTAGTGCCATCTGAGTTTTGGACATATTTTAAAGACACATTTGTGTATCCATTGACTGCCTGGTATTTCATGTTATCATAATTCTATCAAAAATATTTCATATTTAACGTTGATTTTTAGATTCATTTTCTGAACTCTTTATTTTTTTAAATTTTACCTTATATTCTACTGCTGCCTTAGCTATCTTTATGACAAAAAAACCCAACATCTTTCGTAGGTCCAGTGTGGAGGCGTCAGGAGAGCCGGTGGTGTCCCAGGCAGAAGCAACAGAGTCCAGTCAAACGTCGGGCACAGGCAGCCTCCCCTCCACCAGCCAAGAGCCCTCCTCCAGCAGCACAGGCCCCAACAGACCAGGTACACACAGTGGGACGTCTCCAACTTTTTTTTTTTATTCTCAAACCCCAGTTTTATAAGACTCATACTTCAATGACACTTTTCCTGTCCCCTTTGTTGTTGTTCAGATACGAGCAGTGCCAGAGCCAGACCCTCTCGCTCTGGTCCCAGTCGACAGCTGCAGCGCTGGTCTGAGGGCAGAGGCGGCCGCATGAAGAGAGGTAACACACACACACATACACACACACACATACACACACTATCTCAGTGTTTCCCAAACTTTTTTCTGGGGAATATTTTAAATTCACAAATCTTAACGACCCAAGTCAATAGGCATTATTTGTAAATCACAAAATACATTTGTGACCATTATTAATTATTAATGAGGATATTTTATTGTTGACTGAGTGATCGTGTCTCTCAGAACAATTAGTATTACCGTAATTTTCGAATTATAAGACGCATTAAGCAAAACAGACGACACTTGAGACTTTTTTATTTCCTACGAGGAGAACTCAAATATACATTGAGGAATAATGTGTTTAATGCAGCTTTGCACACATTTGTTTACATTTTACAAACCACATGGCTCATTTGCATAAACTATAAATGATTTAAAAAAAAAAAAAAAAACAGCTCGCTCCTTGTGTGCTGATGCGGTCAGCTTCTGTCAGACTAAAGAACAAGACTCAGTGGAATATATAAAAATCAGTCTGAGGTCAGTAAGCACAACCAGAATTAATACATAAGGCACACTGTTGATTTTTCATAAAATTTTATAATACATTTTAATTTTAATACAGTAATCAGTGTTTCCCACAGAAAATTGGTTAGGCAAGGCGCTGCTGCCGAACAAGTGAGGAGCAGGGGGTGCACGGAGATTCCATGCACAATGCAGACCCCAAAAAAATCTCTTGCGACCCACCTGAGGGTCTCAACCCAGTCTTTGGGAAACGGTGCACTGTCTTCTATGTAGTACTTGATTTGTTTTGTCCCAATACAGACATTGTAAAAGGACCACTGTGTCTATGTTGTCTGTAACTACTGATAGTGCTTTTATTGTCCGTGAACCAGGAAGTAAGGCTGGTGCACTGTTAAAAAATGCAGTAGTCTTGTATAACGCTTTTCCAGGTAGCATGTTGGATGTAGCATTACCATGGCAACAAAGCTCTCCTCTGTCCTGAGAAAGTTGTGTAAAGCGCTTGTAAACTCAATGAAGTGAATAATTACAGCGCGTTACGAAAGTGAGGAATACGTTTAGACTACTGTAAACAGTTTAAAATGAACTAGTTTTGCCATTTTCTGCATAAGAACTGATAATCGTGGTCTAGAATGTTCCACAGTACGGCATTTAACTTAAATTGACATCCATGGAGAGAAGCAGGGGAAGTTGGGGGTGAAGTCGCAGGGCAGATCTGTGGAGAGAGGAGTGTTTTTAAGGTACTTTTGAGCAATAAAGTACATACATGCAAATACATGCAAGTTAAGTTCAATGTCATACTGTGGAACATTCCAGGCAAAGCAACTTTTTAATCATCTCACTTTGAAGACCTGTATTCCAGTTGTATTTTTTGTAACAAACAGAACAGAAACGAGCCATTCTTTCAAAACTTTTATTTTAGTGCAGTTCACAACACTCGACATACAAATATTGATCATTTTGACATTTTATTCCAACAGGTCAGGCCTTTGCTCGAGGTTTATACAGACGATGAGACGCCTCTTGGTGAAGACTTGAATCACATTTTCCTCTGTGGAGTCCAGCTCTTCTGTTCAGTTATGAAGTGATCAAAATTGTGTTGGTTTAGTTTTATACTTAAATTACCTTTTGTAACGAGTGTCCATTCCCAAAAATGTTTTATCAAAATTGTAATAAACAATAAAAATGTAAAAATCAAAGCTGTCATTGTGATTTGGAGACTTTCTTTGGACATTTGAAGATTTCGTTGCTTTGAGGGGATGCACCGGGTTTAGGTGTGGCAATAACTGGTCTCTCGCCTTCTATCTGTATTTTGTAGGATTTAGCTGCAAAAAAAAGAATAAAAAAATATGTTAGAAAATAAACAACGGCTCTTTGCGATGTAGGCCTGTTACAATAATTACTATTTAGACTTCAATAGACTTTTTGTCACTTCTTCTGGACATATAATCAAAATGAACTTTATACGAAATCCCGTTAAAACAGAAATTACAATGCGTGGCAAAGAAATGAGCAATTAGATAATTTTCCCAAATCGTTCAGCCTTACTGTTTATATTTCCTCACACTTTAAACTTGATTGTTGTGACAGTCGTACACTGGTGTATGTACTAAACTTCATAGGATTTGTAGAACTGTCTGTATTTTAAATGCAGCTCCACCCAAAATGACTTAAACATCTGCTCGTACACATCCACCCAGACGCAGACACCAGTGGAGCTTTTATTGGTCTCTTCACACAAGTTTAAACAAATACTTTTCCACTCTACCAGATCTGCAACAAGTAATCAGAATAATTGTGATGACTATTAAAATAATCACATTCCGGTTTGTGGGAGGGATTTTTTGTGTATTTTTTTGGGTTTTTTTTTTATTTTTGTTTTTGTTTGGCATAGTTAAAAAAATAAAATAAAATAAAGAAAAATAATATTCTGATCATTGTATGTCAACAAAGCCAGTGACATTAAATCGAAATGTCAAAAAACGTGTAATTTTCATCAGTATTACATTTTGTGAATAGAATGTTCTCTCACAAAGGTCATATCAACCTTTTAAATCTAAATTTTAAATCTTACTGTATGGAAATAATTGTTCCATTAGATTTTTTATTTATATACAATTTTTTAACTCTGAAAAAAGATATTTGAATTATTTTTATTTAGAATTTTTGTTGCTGAAATTTTAAGTATACTTTTCAATATGTTTCAAATTCAAAATAAAAAAAATCACCTCTTAAATATTCAGCACAAATATTTTCAAGCCCTCAAATTCAGTCAAATCTTGGATCTTTGCTGCAAATCTTTTTCACTACGAATTTTACACTCAATTTTTTTTTACTGAAAAAAGATATTTAAATTATTTTTATTCTGAATGTTAGTTGCTGAAATTTTAAGTATGCTTTTTCAATATGTTTCAAATTCAAAATAAAAAAATTCACCTTTTAAATACTAAAATATTTTTAAGCCTCAAATTCAGTCAAATCTTGGATCTTTGCTGCAATTTTTTTATGCTCTGAATTTTGACTGTTGAATTTCTTTTTTCAGAGTTAAAAAATTCTAAGTGAGAAATTCAGCGTTTTTTTTTTATTCAAAGTCTAATGTCACAAATTATCTTCCGTATTTAACCAGCTGACTGAATTGAAAAAAATATTACGAGTTATGAAACAAAGAGATAGTTTCAAGCCTACATACAAATCCATGTATCAAATTCAAATCCAGATTCTGTGCTCAGTGAGTTTACTCACATCTGGAGAAGACGTAGTAGCTGTATCCCTCTGGCTCTCTCTTGTTGGGGATGGACACGGCTGCAGTGATGGTTGTGGGGAAACCTCTCCATGACGTCTTGTAGCTTATGGACGGCCCCAACCCTGACAAAACAACTTCATTTTATAATCTTTTACATCCAACTGTATTTTAAAGGTCCACTATGTCCACTTTTCTGGTGCGTGATCTACCGGTCTACAAGTTATTGCTTTGCCTGGAATGTTCCGTGGAATGGCATTAAAGTGCATATGACCGGTTAGATGACTCATTTCATTAAAACACATTTAACATCATTCCATTTAAGATTTTAATACAAATTTGATATTTTCTTCCCCAGTTTGGTCATTTATTATGTTTAAATTTTCACTTTCTGGTTGGAAATCATGACATCACCCTAGGGAATTCTATAACCGTTACCTAGCATCCATTTAGTTCGTAGACGAGGCCAAAACCCCTCTAGTATACACAGAAATTATGATTTGACAAATACAAATATAAAAAAAAAAGATTTATTTTGTTGAAATCATGTCTAAACTGTCAGAAAAAAAAAAAGTTTCTTGTGTGTAAACTGTGCTGAACGTTTGAGACTCAACATATATTTAAACTTTTCTTCACAATCTGTTTCTTGGTTGGTTTAAAACTATATTTTATATTTACAGCAGATATAATCCCACCAAATTAAGTCAAAATGATTCAGTCATAAGCACTTTAAACTTCTATCTTGTATTCATTCAATTACAGCTGATTTTATGATCTTGAACAAAATGCGTCTGTAACTTTCTAGCGTCACCTTGCAGATAAGTCTGTCATACTACGTTCGATTGATCAGCCAAAACCACCCACATGGACAAACTTTACAAAGACATGTGGGTTTGGAACAGTATCCTCCAGGGATGGGACAAGATCTCACGAGACAAGATTGTGCACACATAAGGAAAATGATCTTGTGAAATTTTTTGAATCTCTGAATTTACCTTTGGTTTGGACAAAAAAAGAGTTAAGAGCTGGTGAGTTATACAATCTGAGAAGGAAGCTGTAGTTCCAAAAAGTAGTACTACAATGAGCACGAAAGTATTACATAAAATAAATTAAGCCAGCATTGTGCAGGGTTCCCACTTTTTTTTCCTGACAAAATTTCAAAACTTTTCCATGATTTTTCATGACCTAAAGTGAATTTTCCATGACTTTACGGCACCTACATGTGAAGAATTGATCAGACTTTTAGGGCTAAATATGAACTGTTAACCCTTTCCATTCACCTTATGGTTTTGGATTATAGTATTTAACATTTAAAATACTGTCAGTGCATTTAGTGTCGTCTCTTTTAAACAAAAGTCGCAGCTGTTCGGAAATAATCATAATAGCCTGAGAACTTAACAGAAAGCTGTAGTTGCGTGAAAGAGATACTAAAACTCCATGACTTTTCCAGGCCTGGAAAAAAGCATTTTCAATTTCTATGACTTTTCCAGGATTTCTATGATGTGGGAACCCTGATTGTGAATTGGACTGTACTACTTATTTATTTACAAATTCAAATCCAAATTTGGATTATGTCAACACCTCATCTTGTTTTGTTCTCATGGATCCAGTCTCGTGATGTGTCTCGTCTCGTGAAAGTTGTGTCTCGTCCCACCCCAAGTATCCTCTGTGAGTTCAGACATGCGTGACTGACAGGTGGATTAACCAATCAGAGAAACGCATGCTCCATAAAGGGAATAACACTGAGGACTGAGAAACAGCACAGATTTCTGCTGAATCAACATTGTGTTACAAATTATTGGATGTGGTCGGACCATCCCAAGTTAGAGAGGTGTCTGTCACGCTCTATGGTTCCATTTCAGACCCTTCTGGATTTGAATAGAATGTAAAAGAGACTGGCTGGTCCGTGCTATGCACAATAGCAAAATCACCACTGAAGAATACATCTGTGAACTCAAGAATAATATGTGTCTTACCTGAAACTACAGAGACTTGTCGAGCTATCCTGTTCCGATGTGTGTAAACTGCCAAATGGACTCTCCTCCCACATGACGGGTTGGTCCCAGACTGGTATGAATATCTCTGAACAGTGCCACCTTAGATATGGAAGTCATGTTAGTACCGTATAATAAAAGCATCATATTAAAGTGGGACTAAACACCCAAACTCCAAACTCAACTACATTTCAAAGTGGACTAGAGCATGAGAGAAAAGAGGGCCGGGGTCTGGATATGTGACGAACAGTGACACTGGTCTTTTGTACTCTTCCTACTCTATTTTTTATTTGGAAATAGTCATCAAACTAGATAGATTTGCAGCTTTGTGTTCAAAAACTGAGTGTGTTCTGCCTCCAGGGGCCACTGCAATTTCAAGTACTACGTGACATCACACAGGACTGCCCTGATTAGAGCCAGGCATCTGTGATTATAACCAACTGAGTCTGAAATGTGGATACCAGTTAGACCAAACCTGGGCATTGTCCTTTGGTTGATTCTGACTAGTTCCTTTAAGATCATTTAAACATATTTTATCATTTTACCTCATGCATGGACCAAAGCTACACAGCTTTTATTTTGGAGGTGTTTTTTAAATAACATTTTTTGTGAGGCAGCTTCACTTTTTCATTGCTTAGTCATAACATAAATTCTTCCCAGTCTTACCAGCGTGTCAGAACAATGACCTGTACTGCTTTTTAAAAAGAAATACAATTTTGGCCTCCACAATATTTTCTGGTTCTCATGTGGCTCCATGGAAAAAATAATTGCCAACCCCTGCGTTATAACAGTTACAAGCCGTGTCTCAATTCTCTTTCCTTGATTCCCCTCCTCAGTCATCTATCAATCAAATGTGTCATATTAAGTGGCATCCCAAAGAAAACCACACTTTATTGGTCTCAGTGAGGTGTTTATATTTGCTATCCTCCCTGTGACTTCTCTGTGGGCGGGACTTCCTCACCCATTTCCTGCAGAATCTAGGAGAGGAATCAAGGAAGAGAGGAAAAATTAATATCCAGAACCCCTCCGCCCTCTCGCTCCCATTTAGTCCTCCAGGTATTGCCCAGTTTAGCAGCTCTGTTTGAAATGTGGTTGTGGCTGGAGTTTGGGTGTTTAGTCCCACTTTAAATCTTCATTACAGACATTCTCATTTCACCTCTTTTGAAGAAATAAACCGACTCCTCTCTGCGGTTGTACTGAGGCACAGACAAAGCAGCTGTGACCTGGCCTCTGAGTCCATGAAAACCAGTGTCTATGCGTTCGGGATATCCAGGATCCAAAACGGCATTTTCATATCTCCAGTACAGAGGGCCCTGCACACACACAAGTCATAGAAGTAAGATGAATATATCCATCCATATCAATCAATATAGTGCAATAAAAGCAAATAAAAACGACACTACAAAAATAGGGAGCGAGATCATTCAGATCATAATACCAATCTGAGACCTAAAAAATACGTGAAACCATTTTAGAAGCACAATTTTCACATTCTAATTCTACCTTTTCTCTAAATATATAAAATGTTTTATCTCAGTTTGTCTCACATTAACTTAAAGGTAAAGTATGTACCAAAGAGAATGTTTGGTGAAAAGGGGAAAGATGTTATTGCCCTTCTTCCTACAGGATTTGGTGCATTACATACGTCATGGCCAAACAGCAGAGATTGGTTAAATAAGAAAAAGTACCCGCCTACCATCGAGCGAACGAATCCTAATGCTGCGAGATCAGACGGTTTCCACAAAGTGAAACCGGCTGATGAATCAGGCTAGAAGAATATAGCCACAGGGACAACATTTCCATGGAAATGACCAAATAAGTGCCATGTTTTTGGGCTAAAAAGTTACATACTGTGGTTTTAAAGGGCCAATACTACACAAAAATATTATAAAATAGATCAGAACTCCATAGATTTAAACTCCATACACCTTCACCGTCATTCATTTGGATAATTTTAGCCCTGGAATTGCCAATCTTTACTGGATTTAAGGTAAAAGGCAGCTGTTCACTTGAAAACTACAGCTGCATGACATCACAAAGTGCAACAGAGCTTTGACCTTTGGAGATGTAGGCAGATTAATAATAAAAGGCAACTCAAACATGTGAAAGAAATGGTATGTTTTTGAGGAGGTAACATTTTAGCATGGCTTAAAGCACACAAGAGTCAATTTTGTCCTTCAGTCCTTGAGGAATGAAAGAAAATAATAAATAATGTCAATAATGGGCTCTGTGCACAACAATAGCTCACTCACTGTGTTATACAAAAATGCACTAAAATTGAATTGAATTTCTAAGTGTATTTACCTTGAAAATGTAAGTCTTGCCCTGGCAGTTGCAGCGTGTGAAAACAGTATCTATAGGAGACGGGATGCCCCACACTTGAGTGATGCTTTGAGCTGGACCTGGGATTCGGTTTCTGTCCAAAACCCAGAAGTAGTGACCTGAGCAAAGACAACGGTTTAGTTTTAATCATGTCTTATTTATTACTTTAACAGACCACAACTTAAAATGCATATGACAGGTTACACTACACATTAAATTTTAATTTTTTTTGTAAATTTTGAAATATAATTATCTTGTCATCCCTCATTTGACAGTTTTGGAGAAAAGTATCTTATAATTTTACAACCTGGTTGGACATGGGCAGCAAATGTGACAAACGTAAAGGTAATTCCATAACTGTTACCTAGCAACTATAATATTAACAAGGGCTGAAGCTTGTCTAATTTATATAAGAGGTATTATCTATCACATAAAAATATATGACAACAGATATATTTTTGATAAATGAAGGTTTAATTTGCCAGAAAGATGTGTTCTTGATGCAGAAATTAAGCATTGTTGCTGTAGAAAATAATCATTCAAAACAAAATGTATTTTTGGATGGTCTCAAAATATCACCTTTAAACAGGAAGCTGAAACTCTTATATAGATGAAGGGATACCTTTTAGAACTCTGATCTACCTCTTCCTTTGATTTTTAAACATGTTTTTTGCAGTTTTTCTTCACAAACTGCCCCTGAACCGATGTAAAACTATGATTAAAAACTATGATAAATATGTACCACATATACTATCCAACCAAACACTGAAAGAATTAGAAAAAAACAAATCCTGTCCTATGCACTTTAGCCACACCCACCTCTGAACACCACCACTGTCCCGTTACTAAGCGCCGTGACTCCACTGATGGGACGACCACTGCACAGGTTCATGTCATTGCTGTCATCTGAAAACAACACATCATATTATTACTATGAGACCTGTTTGTCTGCATCTTCAAACTTTTATTATTAAGTTTTGGGTGGAACATGTGATTCTTATTCCTGAGAGTCTTTATATTTTGAGTTTAAAGGTTCTATATTACACAAAAAATACTCTCGCCATGTTAGAATGTTCTTGCCTCCTCTTAAACATGAACCCGCGTTTTTCTCTCAAACAGAAAACGCTCTGTTCCACCTTATGATCTCATGTGGCGATACAGGAAGCGCTCCACTGTGTTTTTAAACTCTATAATCCTTCACTAGAATCAACTGGATGAGTTCTGTCCTAGAATTGCCAATTTCTACTGAACTAAAGGTAAAAGGTAACTTCATTTAGAGATGTAGGAAAACTAGTAATAAGGGGTTACTCAAACAAGTGTGAATGAAACAAAACACAGCTCCAGGTTTGTTTTTGAGGAGGAAACAAGATTATAACATAGCATAATATGGGCCCTACAACATTGCACATGATATTTCACATATTTTCTTGCTTACCTGCGGGGTACTCTGTTGAATCACTGAGTCCATTGAGCACAGGTTTGTTGTTAGGATCCAGTGCTGGTTCAAGGGGCTTTTCCGGTTTGGGTTTTACCAGGTCTGGTTTGGAAGTGGGTGCAGCTGTTGAACTTTGAGTAACATCTGGTACTTTAACTGTAGTTGCGTCTACTTCTTCTGGGTTCTTAGCATCTAGACCTGGTTCAGTGGGCGTTTCCAGGTTGTTTTTTTCCGGGTCTGGTTTGGACGTGGGAGCAGCTGTTGAAATTTCAATCACATCTTGTACTTTAACTGTAGTTGCGTCTACTTCTTCTGGGTTCTCAGTATCCAGGCCTGGTTCAGCTGGCTTTTCTGGGTCTGGTTTGGAAGTGGGTGCAGCTGTTGAAATTTCAGTCCCATCTGGTACTTTAGCTGTAGTTGCATCTACTTCTTCTACATTCTCAGAATCCGGGACTTGTTCAATGGGCTTTTCCGGGTCTGGTTTGGAAGTAGGAGCGGCTGTTGCGTCTACTTCCTCTGAATTTGCTGAAGACACTATACTCACGTCTCCCACTTCTAACGGAGCTAAAGTAGAAGGATTTGAGCTTGCTGTGGTAATTTCTGGTGTTGCAGTAGTTTCCTCGTTGATTGTTGTTGGTACAGTGGTAGTTGCGTCTGTCTTGTCTACTACAGTGGATGCAGAGTGAATAGTTGCAGTGGATTCTTCTGATTCAGGAATTAAAGGGACGGTTTCAGGCATTTCAGAAGGAGGTACAGATGGAGCGCTTGTTGGGTTTTCATTCATCTGTGCAAGAGCAGTTTGGGCTGTAGTAGTTTGCTGATCTGTGGGGAGAGTAGCCACTTCTGTTGGTGGTTGACTGGACAAAAGCTCGGCCTCTGTGGATTCTGGAGCATTGGTGGAGTCATCAGCATCTAGAGGCAAGAAGCAAGGATAAAAAAATGGATAATCACAATATATATTTTTTTTAATTATTATTATTTAATGTTAATGTATTTTTGTATCTATTTATTACATCTACATCTACATTGGCAAAATCGCACATTGTATGATCATAAACATTCAGGTTATGTTCACGCTTCATCACATCAAACTTAGTACAAAACGGGGACTACATTCTGCACTAATCCTGGACTAGACCAGAACTAACCCAGGACTGGAACAGGACCAAACCAGATCTAGCATCTGGACTAAACAAGGGCAAGTGTAAGTAAGTACTAAAAAGTATAAGCATACTAGGCTAACAATAAAAAGACTGCTTAAAGATTATTTATAAACAATAAATAAAGATTAAACAAGGAGCAGTGCATTACTTCATAAATGTAAGTGCATACTGCAACAACGTCAACTAATAACTTCTCAATAGCATGTAATAATAAATATACTTTAATTAGCCTTAACAAAGCCTCAACCAAGAACTTAAATCATTATGAACAAATAGTTTATCAAGAACTACTAAATCTTTAATTACTAAGTTAATGAAAGAGCCTGTACTTGATTTTTTTCATGTATTGGAGCAAGATTTGCCTTGCCTCTGTGACGATATATTGTATAAGCAGCTCTTTGTCCTGTCTGCATCTAATTATTATATTATTATAGTGCTTTATTGTCTGGGAATCAGGAAGTGTGCTGTTAGCATGCTAGTTGTTCATGGGCAGAATGATTAGGATGCTCTGAATGCATAAGGTAAGTGAGGAATAACTTTGGAGCACTGCAAATTGTTTAAAATGAACTAGTTTTGTTTATCAGGTTTTGAAGATGGTAAAAATCAAGTACAGCATCTTTAAGTAGATACTAAGCCTGAATCATTCTTAATAAATCTCAAGATGTATGTAAAATCCCTCCGTTGCCATTTTTTTTCAGTGTCATAATTGAGACAGCTAATTCTAAGGCGGCGCATCCCCCTCAGGTAACCTGGCTGCCCTATGCCCTGGTTCTGGTGCTTTCTTCTGCACTGTCTTCTGGCTTCTGTGACATCTAAGGTTAAAGCGTAAATGATTCCTCTTCTCTACTAACCTCCTAGCATCCTTTTACAGCTTTCTTACCAGTTCAGCGGTGGTTGGCTCGTAGTTGTTTTCAAGGAGTATATAAAATCCCTCAGTAGTCATTGTTATCTCATCCTATTTGTTCATTATGTATTAAATCTGTGCTCGTGTTTTATTATGAAACTAGAACGTTGTGAATAAACTGACCTGGCTCGGTGCCTTCATTTATATCTGAAGTTCCCAATGGCTCCTCTGTGGCCTCAGGTGAAGGATCTGTGAGAAAAGTTAGAGGAGATCAGCTTAAATATAAGAGTTAAACAGCTGTGACTACTACTACTACTACTACTACTACTACTACTACTACTACTACTACTACTACTACTACTACTACTACTACTACTACTACTACTACTATCTTTGCCTGGAATGTTCTACAGTATGCTATTAGCTTTTCTATCTTTTTAAATTCAGTTACAGGTGTTTTTACTGCCTCTCTTGCTTATCTTTTTATGTCAATATCATTTGTCAATATGCCAATTTCAGACCCTTCATCTAGGACAGAGGTCACCAAACTTTTTTCTCTGGGGGCCACATTATCGCTCCTGACTGTGATGGGGGCCGGGGTCGGGCAGGCTGTTTAACAGAATTGTATGACCCTGACTCCGCAAATTATATTCTTTAAAAACCGCCATATTTTTTTTACATATCAGACAAACTGCACTGTCTTTACACTGAACAAAAAAATAATTGGTCATCCACTGTTTTTTGAAAACTTGGCACTCTCCGTCAAGTTTTCATACTTTATCATGTTTAATCTCGAGCTTGTCAGGTGATGAAAATTCGGTGGCAAATGTAAATATGTCATATAATTATTTAAATATAAATATAAATACTTCATATACATGAAAAAAATCAATAAAATACAAGATGCAGACGTGTTATTTTTTGCCAAAAAGTTATATAACAAAAAAAAGGACAAAACCACTTTTGAGGATTGCTTCATAGGATCAGTTCAAGTGGTGGGGGTCAGAGGGCCTGGGGGGCCGGTCAAAGGGGCATGGAGGGTCGGAGTCGACCTGCGGGCCTTAGTTTGATGACTCCTGATCTAGTATGTTACATAGTGCCTCTTTAACTACAAGCTGGCCAGCAATTCTCACTTCTACTTTTGGAAGCTGGGCCACATGGCATTATCAGTCTGGTGTTAGTCAGGTTACTTTAGTTGTCAAAATGCAGATGTTTTGCCCTGGTTCATGATACATATCTTTGTAATTACTGGGCCTATCCACACGAAACAAAAACTACCACAATATTCAACAGCCCAACAAACAAGGAGAATGTTGTGAATGATCTGACCTGGATCGTTGCCTTCACTATGTTGGATTCCTAATATCTCCTCTTTGGCTTCATTATGACTTAAGTCTTTGTTCATGTTTTTTTAAGGCTAATTAAGGTGTAGTTCTTATAAAGTGGTACCAAACGTCCATATAAAAGTACCTGTATTGGCAGTCACTTCTGTAGCGCTGGGGGTCACAGTGGTAGGGCTCTGTGTCGTTTCCTCTTTGAGTGCAGTGGTTGTTGTTATCGTCTCTGGGAGTATTTCAAAGCCGTCCAGGTCGGGCAGAGGAGGTCTAGTGGTGTAGTCCTCCTGTGCGTCTGAGGGGGTGGAGCCAAAGCCGCTAGTGCCCTCTGTAGGTGGGCTGGGGTCCGGACCCTCCAACTCTCCTACCTGTTTAGAGGCTGCAGATGTAAGAAGACAAAGGGTTAAGTCACAGTTAAGTCATAGTTAGTTATCATAGCAAAAGTGAACTATTTACCACTATCAGGGTCATCGTTTGGGTAAGATGTAGGGTTTACAGTCGGCACGAAGTTGTCAGCTGCGGTAAATAAACAGTTACAGTTAACAGCCATACCATCTTGACAATCATGATCAGGTCTTGAAAGTTAAGCAAGGCTGGGTTTTGTTATTTGAATTGGAGACCACTGGGAATAACAGGTGCCACAGTGGTTACAGTCATTGTGTCCTTGGCCAACACACTTCACCTACTTCGCCTAGTATGAATGGTAAATATAGAGCTTTTCCACCTTTAAGGCATTCAAATCGCTTTACATTAAGGAACCAGTCACCCATTCACACATAGTCCAATGAGATTCATTTGGTCTTCCGATATTTTATGTTATTAGGTTCGTATCAGGCTTGTTTCATACCTGACAGTTTCGACTGCTCACTAGAGGTCTTCCTCAGGTCATCCTGCCTCCACCAGTAGGAAGACAGCGCCAAAACCTGTTTAAATCAGCTGACCAGACACGTCACAGCAACATCACGTGACCACTCTGAGGAAGATCGCTAGTGAGCAGTCGAAACTGTATGAAACTGTATGTATGTATGAATCAGGTATGAAACAAAACTCTAGGTCTGAAAAAAGAACCTAATAACATTCACACATACATTCACACATACATTCACACACCAGTGTATGTAGACACTGGGAGCGAAGTGGGACTTGCCCAAGGACACAATGATAGTATTCATCTGTGGGAGCTGAAATCACGCCTCCAACCTGTAGGTCATTGGATCTCACCGCTCAACCAATTATGTTTATGACGAGAGAGGGTTTTGAACTGCCAACGTTCGGATCAGTGGACGAACACTCCAACTCCAACACTACCAACTAAACTCCAGTCGAATGTGGTGTGTGTGAAACGCTCTGACCCTGACTCCCATTGGCTTACGTGGAAAAACTGTCACCTCTCTCTCTGTAACTGTGTAGTGAGCCTCATCATGTTAGTCTTAAAATGCTCGTACTATGATCCTGGTGTTTTTATTTCACTATTTTGTTTGTTTAAAAAATCCTGTTCCTAATATGAGTCTTGGCTCCAAATTCGCCCTTGTAACTGCATCACGAGCTTCATTTGACTGGAGCCGACCGCTATGGGTGACGTCACTTTGTTTTTTTATGTTTTTAACAAACTTTTCAGGAACAAATTCAGCAACGTAAATATTTGAACAGCGAGTGCTAATATTACGGTGATGACAATTCTTCCACATAAACTGTAGTAAATTTCAAAATGTCAGGTCTAGCATTAAATAAAGGAGGAAATATCATGTAATGTATTCCTATTCCACACTTTAATTCGGATTTAACAGTTTTTTTCTACTATTGGAGTTGGACTGTGTTAAGCGTCATGTTTGGCTGTGCACTGAGTTTCTCTTGGTTTTGAATCTTTGCCTGTTTCCTCCCCCACTCTGTTTCTGTTGACGTTTGTACTCTGCTCTTTCAGGACAAACTGTGTCCCTAAACAAACTCTGTTGTTTAAAGCTGCATTATGGAACTTTTTGGCTGGGGGTCCACTTGCTTGTTGCTCTGCCTGGAGTACGACATTAAAACAGCTTTTCTTTATAGCTTACAAATACCTAGAAAAACAGGCATTCTGACTGTGAGTGGGGTTGCCTCTCCACAGATCTGACCTGTAACTTGGTTTGGTTTGGTCACCATGAAGATAGAAAGGTTTAATGCTATACTGTGAAACACTCCAGACAAAGCAACAACATCTCCATGGAGAAAAGCATTTGATGGACCCTCCACCAGGAAAGATTAAAATTTTAAACAGCTGATATTTTGACCTGGTTTATGTACAAATCTCTCTAATTACTGGGCCTATTCACATGAAACAAAAGCTACAACAATGTTCAACAACCCCAAAATCATGCACAAAAGTTAAAATCCTGCTCTGTAAAGTATGGACGTAGAATGTTGTGAATGAACTGACCTGGAACGTTGCCTTCACTATCCTGGGTTTCTAACGACTCCTCTGTGGTCACAGGTGGAAGATCTGTGAGAAGAGAGTTATAAGAGTTAAACAACTCTGAACAAAGTGAACCATCATTATGTTCTGTGTACCTGTGGACTTTTTCTCAACATTATTGTCACATGAGTCTGGCTTCACTGGAGCATCTCCTTCTACTTCTTCTGTGGCGTTTATTAGGACAAAATACATATATTCATCATAATTCACTGATGCAGATTACTGCATGCAATGGTAGCTGCACATACTAGTGCACACCACAGGGAAAGATGAGGTTATGAATTGTTAATTGTTAACTACATAATACTACTGTTTCCCATGCACTTTTGATGTAGTCATGGTGGTGTTTGACAGATGAGAGAGGTGAGGCTGATTTGAACATGCAGCCATGCTTTCTCTGAATGTAACATCATGTCTCACAATCACAGTTGTCTGTAGTTTAGTACAGTCCACTGATTCTTCACAGAAATTAACAGCACTCCAGGGCCGCACAATTAATCTAATAGAGTACAATTATGTGAATATTATGTGCCCAGATTAATTTGCACTGAGAAAGTTGAACATCAAAATCAAAACGATAATAAAGCCCCATAGTCTATGAAAATGAACAATACAGTATAAATATATTTGTAAAATATTCTTGCAGTAATACTGTTTTTGATGAAAACCTCTTGTGTCCTCACACAAAAACTCTATTCACTTCTGTGTTCTAAACCAGTGCTTGACTAAACTGAAAGAATAATGGGCAGATCAGTTGAATAATAAAATGATGGTTAGTTCAAACTGTTATGAATGTGTGATGATGTACTAAAGGTTTGACCTGTTCACACCGACATGAACAAATGCATGTGACAGACTGATAGACCACAGTGTGAACAGTCTGCAACTGATACTTTGCAGTAGCATCATGGGGGGGTTCTGCATGTATGTCTATGGCGTAATGGTCAGCGGAAACCATGATAAGACAATACACACATTACCAAACACTGCCAAAGTTAAAACAGTTTGAAAATTAAAAAATACAAAGTAATTTGAGTAACAGAAGTTCAGACCGAGCAGTGCCACCAGCTAGCTTCACACCCAGGTAATGCTGACGATATCAGCTGCAAAGTATCAGTCCCATGTCCATGTCATTATTATGGACATGTACATGCTCATAGTGAGCTCCACCTTCACATGCTGACGCTGCTGCTTGTGCCCTACCTGTCTCAGTACAGTGGTCATTGTAGTCTGAACAGCATTTCTTGTATTTCGTACAGTCTGAGTCACAGTCACACGTCCGACCGCGCTTGAACGTCTCACCACAGCGCCCCCTACATGAGTTTTCTGAAATCACAAACGCACATGGATTTGTTATGCTAGGTTTAAAAGAAACAACAGAGACCTCAAAAATGTAAAACTATAACATTTCCGAAAAAGCAATCCAAGCATTAAAAAAATTCTAATTTAAGAAAGCCTAACCAAAGCTTTTAAAGTTACATTATGTAACTTTTCAGTTAGGGGTCTCCTGCTTGTTTCTATGGATGTGTCATTGCTCTGCCTGGAATGTTCCACAGTGTGACATTTAACAGCTCTACCTTACCTGTCACCAATCACAAGTGGTTTTATAGCTCAAAAATACCCAAACAACAAGCATTCTGACTGTGAGCAGAGTCGCCTCTCCACATAATCTGACCTATAACTTGGTCTGGTTTGGTCTCCATGAAGTTTTATACTATACTGTGATTCAATCCAAATAATACAACATTTCCATGGAGATGAACATTTGAGATGAACCTCAAAATGCTCTGTTCCACCTTGTGATGTCATGAATGTGTAGTTTTGAAGTTAACAGCTACCTTTTAACTTTAGGAGCATTACCAGATGACATCACAAGGTGGAATAGAGGGTCTTCTGTTTTCTGAGAGAAAAACTCAACCTAAATATGATGGATTTGTGTGTTAAACACACAATGTGAAAGAAAAAAACACAACTCTAGGTATGTTTTTGATAAGGAAACAACATTATAACATAGATCAGAAAATAGTGTATTATTAGGCCCTTTAATAAACAATTCCTTCATTATGGATTAAGTTAATGTTTTTAAGGCTAATTAAGGTATAGTTAGTAGACAGTGCTATCAATACTCTGTAACTATAACATAAGGACAGGTCTTACTGGAGGTACAGAGCCTCTCATAGTCTTTGCAGCACTCTCCATAGAGCAGACAGTTGTAGTCACACTGACACGTGTAGCCTCTGTAGTAGCCCTGGCCACAGCGACCTTTGCAACTCTCTGGAAACACAAACAAATATTGATCAGTGAAAACCTGCTAGATGCCATGTTGCAACATTCTGTAATTTGTGATTCCTGTATAAAGTTATTTAAATACTGGTTGATTTTTTTTATTTTATTTGACAAAACAAAAATAGCATAACAGAAAATTAAATACAAAACAAAAAGACCAAAAGTTTCAAAAGACTTAAGCTTGTAATTATGAAAAAATGGATTTGCCATTTCTCAGATAAAATTATATCTTTTTTTTTTTTTTTTTTTTGTATAATTTGTGAATTAATACTTACCCTGAGCCTCAGTGAATGCCCAGGTACAAGCCAGCAAAAAAACAGTTAGTCCAAATGAAGACATCCTTAGTCTGAAAATACAAGAATCCAATTTGTCATAGTTCTTTACATCATAATTTGTTTCTCACTATTGTTTTATCTTAAAGGTACATTGTGGAACTTTTCTGGGGGAGGCACCGCCAAGTGCTTTTCTCCATGGAAATGTTATTGCTTTAAACTTTTCTATCTTCATCTTCAGACCAAACCAGAACAATTTACAGGTCAAAACTGTGAAGAAACAGAATGCCTGTTTTTCTAGGTATGAGTTGACTTATAAAACCACTGTAATTGCATAAATGTAAGGTAGAACTGTTTAATGTCATACTGTGGAACATTGCAATGACATCTTCATGGAAACAAGCAGGTGACGGACCCTTCACCAGAAAAGTTACACAATAAATGAATGAATAAAGTTGCACTAGGAAACTTTTCTGGCGGAGAGCAGTTCACATTTCACCATGGTATGGTATTACACTTTTATTTTAAGACAAGCAAGTTATAAGTCAGATCTGTGGAGAGGCAATCCCAGTCATAGAGTGAATGAATGCAAGAATTTTTCTTTTTGCTGTACTGTTGCAGGAAAAGCAATCAATGAGTTTCAGAATGATGAAAAATTAGGACCCGATGCTGTAGCAATTAACAATTTAAAACAACATATTATATATTTGTATAGTAAAAAGTCCTCAAAATGTCACCTATAGCAGGAAGCTGAAAGCCACAGATTGCAATTATATGGAGACAAGCAGGTGGCTAACCCCTACTAGAAAAGTTGCTTAGCACACCAACTATAATGAAAATACTGACAGAGAGATGATGTTACCTGGCTGTAGTCTTGTGTGTGAATGTGCTGCCCTTTGCTCCTGCACTCTCTTTAAAAGGTCTGACAGGTCTGGTCCCGGGTTTATGTTATTAGCTGTGTCCAGTCTGTAGACTTAAAGACTCTGTGATGTCATAAGGAAAAGGGAGGCTCCTCAGACATTGGAAGCAGCTGGAAGTCTGTCAACAGCAGTTAGAGCCTGGCAGACGCTGACATCACTCTACCTCAAAATGGAAAAATACATCAAATGTTTTTGGTCCTGTCACAAAGCGGATACTGCAGATCAATACACCCACTCGCAATCAAGGCCATTCCCAGATATTATGTAACTCAAAGCAGTGACGGTGTTGTGGGTAAGTTTGGGGTTATATTTCAATGTCTCTCACATGTAACTGCTCTAGTGGAGGGTCCATCACCTGCTTGTGTCCATGGAAATGTTATTGCTTTGTCTTGAATCTTCCACAGTATAAATTAATACAGTATATCATGAGGCAGAGAAACAGGTTACAGCACTACAGAAGGCATTATTGTGTTTTTGTGCAATAAAAACACCTGTAATGAATACATGTTAGGTGGATATGTTTAATGTCATACCATGGAACATTCCAGGCATACCAATAACCTCTCTATAGAGACAAGTAGACAAGTAGGTAGCGGACCTTCCCCATAGAGACAAGCTACTGCCGGATCCTCCTCTGCTGTCCCTGGACATACAGTTATAATAAAGGTAATATCAGGCTGGGGCCCTGTGATGGAGCTACAGTATATCTCCAGTTACAACACGTAGATGGGTTAACAGAAGGACAGACTGTTAGAAATTTTGTTCACATTCCCTGTAAGAAGATCCAGTCCTACTGAAACTAATCTGAAACTTGCTGTGCTCAATGTCAGATCTTTATGTAACAAATCATATTTAATTAATCCAATCCAATCCACTTTATTTCTATAGCACATTGCACAAACAAACAGTTTGCAAAGTGCTGCACAAATACATAATAACAACAACAATAAGATGATAAAATAAACTACTAAAATAATACGAGTCTTAAAATAACAAAACCAATAAAATAAAATAAAAACAAAATCATAGAATAGAAATAAATAAACCAATAAATAAATTAAATCAGTAAAACCAATAAAAAACACATACAAATAAATTTAAAAACACAGACACACAATTAATGATTTTATTTCTTCTTTTAATCTTGACTTTATGTTCTTAACCGAAACATGGCTTGACAAAAACAAAGGTAATGCAGTGCTAGTGGAATCAGCCCCTCCCAATTTCAAATTTGAATCTGAAACACGAGCAAACAAAAAAAGTGGAGGGGTGTGTGCATTTTTTAGAGATCATTTGGTTACACACAAGTTTTCATTTGGGGCGTTTTCTGAGTATGTCCATTTCAAAATGGAGCTAAAACAATCACCCTCCATACTTAATCCTAAGTATTTTTGTGCCTTATTTGACACACGTCTTTAGCTAATTAAATTAGTTTAAATGTAAAATAAAAAATAAGTGATATAAAATTAGACTATGTTACTTTTCTCGTTTCCTGGCATGTTCCACAGTATAACATTAAGCCTGTCTATTTCCTTAGAGACAAACAGGTTGATGACACCAAATGGGCTAAGTCGCAGGTCAATTCTCCAAAGTAAAAAAGCATGTTTTTTAGACACTGTTGTGCAACTCTCTTATTGAATCACAGTTAGATAGTTGTGGAACTTTCCAAGAAAACAATATGAAGACAAGCAGGCGACACACCCTCCTCTGGAAAAGTTACATAGTGCATCATTAAATGCAATCTATTTTAAAAAGGTAAACCATGTCTTTTTCTCTCACATGACTAGCTCTCTAGTAACTAGACTTCCCTCAGAAAATTAGATTTTATAAAGCTGGCAAATAAACTGGAGTTAACAGTGATAAGATAATGTGAATGAAAGCAGATTAAGGACTTTTTTCACAATAACTGCAATACTAATTTTACATTGTTACATACCTAACAGGAAGCTACCAATTCATTTAGAAATGAATAAGATTTGTAGACATGATGATTTTGTCTGAGAATTTTCCCAAATGATTTCATCTAAGTGAAGTTAGTCAAATGCTCAAAATGAATTGACCATGGTGTGTATACAGACTATAAATATGAAAATAGTAAAACTTTTATAACACCCTATGGTATAACAAACAGTGGGTCAGAAGTCTATCGTCACATTACTTGAATTATTTCAAAAAGTCAGTTACTGTATATGCATCATCATTTGTATATAGTATAACACTATTCTAAAAATACAATCAAAAATATATTCATAAAATCTCCTTAATTAAAATCCATACGTCAGTTTCCTGCCACAAATATTTTCCACAGTAACATGAACCACTGTCTGCCATAACATAGCACTCTGCCATTTTACAGTCACTTAAGAGAAAAAACAGTGACTTATGGACATCACTGTGGTTATCTTGGCTCTGCTCTGTGTTTAAAGTGAGTAATACTGAAGTGTTTTCAAGATTGGCGATGGAAAATATGTGTTTATGAACATATGAAAAGCAAAGGGACATTCAAATAAAAAATAGGAGTGCAGAATTAATTAGACATCAAGTCAAATCAAGATCCTGCTGTTTTAATTAATGATCTCAGGTCTTTTTAATGGAGAAGTCTACAGCCAATCCTCTGTCAGTAAAAGCTTTTTTTTTAATGTATTTATTTTGGACACGTAAAGATTTACATTCTTATACAATGGAACATATAACATAAGTGAAATCATAATAGAAATGAAAATAACCACAACAAAAAAGGAGTGGGAAGAAGAAAACTTTGGAGCAGAGTTCAGACTATTTTCTGTGTTAATTTGCACTAAAAATCCAGTTTATGTTCATTAAAAGTTTATATATATCGCCTGGAATGTTCCACAGTATGGCATTACACTTGTTTATCTCTACGGAGCAGCAAACCCACACATAGTAAGAATGAAAGTTTTTAGTTCAATAACAACCCATGTTATTGAGAAAATGCAAGATGGATACGTTTAATGCCATACTGGGACATTCCAGACAAAACAACATCTTCACGGAGACAGTAGGTCTCACACAAAATTACCCACCTTTAAATGAACATATTGTTTTAAATGAAAAAAAGATAACATCTTTTCAGTGCCCAATCTTGTCTCAGACTCTAAAGTAAGCATGGCCAGGTCTGTTAAGTAACTGTATGGGAGCCTGCTGAAAACTGTTGTTGTGTCTTTAGGCAAAATACTACTACTACACTGCCTAGTTAGTATGAATGTGGTGTCAGCGTGAGTGGTGGCGGTGGCTGAAGGGGCTGATGGTGCAAATTGGCAGCCTCGCTTCTGTAGTCTGCCCCAGGACAACTGTGGTAATAGGATCTTAGCACCAAAGAGTGTGGAGTGAATGAATATAGCAATATGAAACACTTTGGGTGTATTGAAATGCACTAAATAAATAGCTTTCCTGACATATCAATAACATCTCCATGGAGACAGGTAGACAAGTAGGTAGCAGACCCTCCACCACACCAGAAAAGTTGCACAGTGCCCCTTTAATGGGAGAAAGAGTGAGTTGATCAGACATATAAAAGCTTTCTCCATTACATAAGCTGAGGTCCAGGTGTGGCTGAGCGGTCAGACATGCTGTGTTGACTAACTATAGCATCACAGCGGTATTGCTCCATCTTGTCCCAGCAGAGCGTTCATTAGTGCTGTTATGTTAAAGCTGAGATGATAACAGGATTTGAACCAGCAACCGCAGCACAAACACAGACACAACTTCCTCTGCTGGAGCTGTGCGAAAACCACAATTTTATTTATAATCACATCACAGTCAAAGCAGAATTTATCAAGAGAGTGTAACTTTGTCTAATAAACAAAGTGGAAATAAGTATAGCTGGCATGAGTAGGTTTTTAAAGTGGGGTTAGAGCGCCTCCTTGTGGATAGTTTCAGGATATATGATGAGACGCTATTCTATTTTGTATTTTAAATCAGGCTTACCTCAAATCATTGCACGGAAAATACGGAAACCTACTTCAACAACATACAGAAACTTGGATTATGGCGTGTTATATTGTATTGTTATGTCCAAACCAATACACCTGTGAGGATGTGGCCAAAATAAAGTTAATTTAAAAAAAAACAAAAGCAGTTGTGTCTGAATTGAAAGATAATGTTGTTTCACTACTGTATTTGATATTATAATTTTTAACCTGTAGAAGACACATTGACATTTTACTTATTAATTACATAGCATTAAATCAATATATAATGGCCTTCACTGTTTCATCACAATCTGTCCATTAAAAGAAAGGAATTTTGAAGCCGAACAGGGTAATTACCATATTGATTTATAATATAATACAATATCATATCATGTCATATAATAATAATACTAATCTGGAATTACAAAAAACTCTATCTTTTGAACAGTGAAAAGTCCACAAAATGGTGCATTTAAACCATACAGTCTATGATTTAAACAGAAAACTGTAGAGCATGAATGCATTTTAATTATGAATACATAAATTACACTCTCTTCTCCATAGCAACTCCACCTTACCTTTTTTCCAGTCATTTCTCTGGTGACTGATTAGATGATTCTCCCCACTGTCTCTCTCCAGCTGAGCAGAAAACTGAGGAACAGACAACCCAGTCTATATCACCGATACCAGGCCACGAAAAGCTCCTAGAACACAGATAGGAGCTGTTAAGGAAAAGAAAATTCTTTCTGGAAGTGGCACATCACCTGCATGATTCGATAGAAAAAAATCTTATTTCTAAACACTGTGGAATATTATAGACAAAGGACAACATTTCCATGGAAACGAGCAGGAGGAGGCCCTCTTCCAGATCAAATAAGAGTCTATTTGTGACTAAAAGGTTACATAGTGTGGCTTTAAGTCACATCTTATCTCTTTCATGATTAGGGCTTTTAGTCTCTGCAGAGCCACAGCCAGTGCTAAAATCATTCTCTTGTGTAAATGTGTTTTATTAACTGGATAAACACACTGGATAAACGCACGTGGAAAAGCGACCTATCTTTTGCCCTGCGTCATAACTAACAACAGATATAAATCTATAACACGCGCTTTGATATATACGTCTTGCTGCTCTAGGCAATTCTCTGACCATTTATGTTGTTATTAAAGATGTAATTCACGAACACTCTGTGGTTGAGCACGGTGGAAATGGCGGTGGCTCACATTATCTAGGTCTGTTGAGGCACTGAAAGCCATTTTAAACATAACACAAAGCTAATGAGTTG